CTCTTGGGTCTATAGTTCCATGGCCATTCTTCACCACCTTTCTTAAATAGTGGCACCACGTTAGCCTACCTCCAGTCTTCTGGCATCTTGTGGCTGTCAATGATATAAATGTCTCAGCAAGGGACCCAGCAATCACTTTCCGAGCTTCCCAGAGTTCTAGGGTACACCTGCTCGGGTACTGGGGATTTATCCACCTTTATGCATTTTAAGCTGTCCAGAACCACCTGTAATTTGGACATTTTTCAAGATGTCGCTAATTATTTCCCCATGTTTTCTACCTTCCACATCCTTCTCCACAGTAAACACTGATACAAAATACTCATTTAGTATCTCTTATCTCCTGCCATTCCACACATAAGTGGCCTTGCTGATCTTTAAGGGGCTTTATTCTCTCCCTTGTTGCCATTTTGTCCTTAATGTATTTTGTAGAATCCCTTTCGGATTCTCCATAACCCTATTTGCCAAAGCTATTTTATGCTCCCTTTTGTTTTTTGCTGTCCAACAGTTGCCTGAGGGTGGAATCAAACCTGGCACCTTGGCCCTGTGAGGCACCAGTGCTAACCATTGAGCCACCATACTGCACCATTGTCTTTTGAAGACACTGAAAATAACTGCCTACTTCACCTGTCACTATTTTTATTTTTCGGTATTAATTTCCCAGGCTCATTTCTATTGGAGCAGTGCTCTCTTTAACTGTCTCTTCAAAAATATTTATAAAAACACTGTCTTTAAATGATTGGTTAGCTTTCTCTAATGCTTTTACAGGGGAGATGATGGTCTAGTGGTATTATCACTAGACTTCTGGGCAAAGGGATTTGAATCCCACCATGGTAGATGGTGAAACTTTAATCCAATAAAATAATCTAGAATTGATGATAATGATGGCTATGAATCCATTATTGGTTGATAGGAAAAACCCATCTGGTTCACTAAGTCCTTGAGGGAAGAAATTTACCATCCTTACCTGGTCTGGCCTAATGCGACTCCAAATCCACAGCAACGTGGCTGACTCTTAACTGCCATCTGGGCAATTGGGGATGGGTAATAAATGCTGGCCTAGCCAGCAAAACACTCATGCAATGCCGAGCACTAGCTTTGGGTCACTGTGTCTGTATGGAGTTTGGACATTGCCCCTGTGTCTGCATGGGTTTCTGCTGGGTGCTCTGATTGTCCTCCCACAGCCCAAAGATGAGTAGGTTGGGTGGATTGGCCATGCTAAATTGCCCATTGGAAATGGGTGATGGGGGTAGGATGGAGGTGGGCCTGGGTGGGGTGCTGTTTGGAGGTCAGTGCAGACTTGTTGGGGCAAATGGTCTCCCTCTGCTTTGTCCTATGATTTAGTTAATCACAGATGGTAGATCCTTCCCTCCTTCCTTTATGGGAATGTATCTCTTCTGTGTATTCTGAAATATCCTGGGAGAGTGTGCCATTGTCCCTCCATTGACCTGTCTCTTTCAGTAATTTGCCTGTTCGCATTAGCTAGCCGTTTTTTTTATTCATAATCAGAATTACTTTCACTGAAGTTTAAAGTACTACCTGAACCCCCCTTCCCTCCCTCAAACTGAAAGTCAATCATGTGATATGATGCAGGACCAGAAAATTATAACACTAAGGAAGGATTATGTAGCATTTGTAGTTTTACTTGGATTGAGGATGCTGAGTAGAGATTTGGTTTAAGGTGCACAAGTTTCAGCAGGCCGAGATGGAGTGGATGGGGAAAAATCTAAAACCCTTTGTGGGAGTAGGAGTGGCAATGATTTGTAAAAGGATTAGGGGAGAGATGAGAAAAAGTGAGTTAGAGCTGTGGGGTTCTGTTCCTTTGAAAGGGGTTTTCAGCCTACACTACCAAAATTTATTTAAAACGTGTTTGGATAGGCATCCTAACTCTTGTAGCCCTTCAGATGTGAGCCACGTGCTTCAAAAATGGGATTCCCTGAATGTTTTTGTTTTTTCGTTTTCAGGATGCAGAAATGATAGGCAGATTATTTACCTTTGGCTTTTCTCTATGCTGTAAATATTTCTGCAATTTCCAATGTGTCAGGATGTGAGGAAAAGGATACCATGTGGTTATGTGAATTGCTCCTTCTAAGGGCCAACAGGGATATGATTCAGTTGACTGCCATCATACTGTAAGGATACTATGATTTGCAGTTAGAAATCATTTAATAGCTCACTAATGCTGCACTAATTTGATTAAAGAGTAATCTTAGTGGCAGAAGAAAACTTCAGTAGCATTAGAACCCTTAAAGTTAGAACCTGCATTCTTAGGAGAGAAAATATTTACTTTTGTAAATCATGGTTTATTTCCTCTGAAATATGGGGTATAAATAGAAAATAGGCGCAGGGTAAGATTTCAACCTTTTTCAATATGATAGGTGATCATCCAACTCATTATCCTATTCCTGTTGATCCCTCTAGCCCTATGAGCTATATCTAACTCTTCCTTGAAACCATTCCATTTTTGGTTGCAAACATTTCCTGTGGCAGAGAATTCCACCGACCTCATTACTGAGATGGAGAAATTTATTCATTCAGTCCTAAATGGCCTACAATGTATTCTTAGACTGTGATCCTTAGTTCTGGTACAATAACCTTGTGAAGAAATCCAACATGATTAGCAGCAAATTAACCACTTTTGCAAGCCTGCAAGCAATTTGCATAGATAAGATCTAGTAAATTGCCAAGGAGTATGAGGATTGCAGGATAGATGTCACCAGGACCCCAAGAGAGCTCACTGCTTTTTGGTATAATGCAATGTTCTATCATATACACATGAGGAGCATAGAATCTTTAAAGCACAGAAGAAGGCAGTCAACTTGATATGTGCATGCTGGCTCTTTTGAAGTCTTTGCTTAGACCATTACCTGTGTATTTGAAATAATGTTTTGCCTATCTCTTATTCATGGTGCCACTTAATTTGCCATCAAAAAGACATGGCCAGCAGTAATGGCAGTGATGTTAACCTGTGTCAGGTACTGCAGTCTCTTGGGTTGGCAATGGGACTCCATGAACATTTGTGTACGCTGTTAGAGAGCATATGACATTGCTGACTGCTTCATTATCCACCACTTCTTCATTTTGGTCTACTTTTGTGGCACTGTTTTAGCTTTGTTCCACACCTATTCTCTCTCGAGAATTAATGGTGCTTGATCCCTCAGCTTGTCACTACTTCACCTGTCACAAAGGCTTTGTTCCACTTCACTTTTCCTGGTGTAAGCATTGCCCTTGTTTATAGGCCCGAGTTCAGCTTTCATATGTGTGCAGGCAACTTTCAGCTTTATCCATTTTCCTATCATCAAGCTGCATATATTTGCGTAGTCAGTGTAGCATCCTAGGCAAAGAAATTGAAGACTATCCATGCATTCAGAATTGAAGCGAGGAAAGGATCAAAAGCTGCAGCCAGGTGAGTGAACTGTTTAAAAATTAGCATGATCCCCTGCCTGATCAATGTTACCACAACAATGGTCAGCGATGTGCACATGACCATCTACACCAGCAAAGAAGATTTGAACAATACAGAGGTTCCCATAACCAAATTGAAAGACCAGAAAATTGACATTGTCAAATCTGTGTAAAGGGGATCACTGGAGGACTTGTGCCCTTGGACCAATGCAGAAGGGATTAGCTGAGCAGCTTGGACTTGCCACGTCTGATCAGGATCCAAACCAGTCCAGCGAGCTCAGATCAAGTCAGAAGTATGCCTTCCCCCACTGGGTCAGTCCAAATTAGTGGCAAGGCATGGGAGATTATTTTAGCAACTAAGACTCCTTGGGTCCAGCCTGAAGGAATACACAGGCAAGGATTTGAACATGGCTGCTTGGAATAATGCACTGTAGGGATTCTTCATTCTGCTGAAATGTGTAATTGTACATCCTTACATGTTTTTCTTCTCATGTACTGTAATTGTAAATTCTGGAATACTTTGCATGCATAGTAAAGGATGCAGAGACTATCTAACTGTACAAGGCCTTTAGAGTGTCAGATGGTGAACAAATGATGCTGGCTTCTTCCCTTTTCATAGGGGAAGTAGAGTTGGCCAAAGCTGCTACTGAGAGAAAAACTATACTATTTACTGTGTCATTTTTCTTTTGGTTATTAGAAATTAGATTTGTTTGAAATTCTGTAAACTACAAGTGGAATTGTCTGAAAGATAGTAAGAATTGCCAATGCTGGAATAAGAGATCAGTGTGGAGCTGGAGGAACACAGCAGGCCAGGCAGCATCAGAGGAGCGAAAAAGCTGATGTTGCAGGTCGGGACCATTTCTGAAGAAGGGTCCTGACCTGAAACGTCAGCTTTCCTGCTCCTCTGCTGCCTGGCCTGCTAAGTAGAATTGTCTGTCTTTTTCTTATTTCCATCTGTTTGTTTTTTTTTAATTTACTTTGTCTGAGTTGCTGCCTCTGTCAGCGTTTCTTGCGTATTCTTAATTGATCAGAAGGTTGTTACAAATTGACCAAATTATTCTGGTCATATTTAGGCTAAATCAAGTCTGGATGATTGGTTTCTTTCCCTAAAGGACATTAGTGAACCAGATGTATTTTTTTTTTTAAGAACAGTTGATAGTCATGAGAGTCATAATTAGGCTTGATTTTTACTTATTCCTGATTTTTTTTTTAAACTGAATTCAAATTTAAACCATGTGTCTGGGATTCTTGCACCTTTCCAAAACCTCTGGCTAAGGTCTTCAGATTACTAGTCTACTGACAAAAATACCAGTTAATCCATTGTTTACCCTGTACGTCCTTGCCAGGTATCTTGTGCCCAAGAATTGCTGATCATCACTTGTTACAATACAAACTTAATGTTTCTGTCAAAGGTACCTGACATTGTCCGTCTATGCCCTCCACTGGAAAAAGACTATTTTAAACTTGACCCAACACCAAAATCATGCTTGCACTAAGTACTGAACTATTGCTATGTTTTAATGAAATACATTGACAAAGACTGTTCATATTCAGATATGCTGCTGAGAAATTATCTATGAACTTTTCTTCTCCTTTAGAAGGAGGCACATTTCAAGGGGTGCCTAAAGGAACCACCGTACTCAATGACCTTCCAGCGAGATGTCAGATCGTTTGGGGCAAACTGCAAAGGGAAAGGATGGAAAAACCAAGTACTCGTCACTCAATTTGTTTGATACTTATAAAGGAAAGTCCTTAGAAACCCAGAAACCCACAGGTAAACCACTGATTTAATATTGTTCTGAATAAATCATTTAAGAACTTTGTTCTTTCCCCTCTTTAGTGCTCATGTTTACTTTAGGCACAGATCTAATCGTCCTACTAGTTATTACAGTTTTGTCGCTACGTTTCAGATGCAAATATTATACTCTTGGAAAATAGCATTTTAAACTATTTCATTCCTGAAGATACTGCCACCTTAAGTATATTGCACCAGAACCAAATCCTGATGCTGTCAAAAGTTTTTTGTTTTTAAAAACATTGCTAAAGGAGAATAGAATTTGAAAGGTTTTTGTCTTGCGCTCATCAGAACTAAGAGGCCCAGTTTTATGGAGAATGAGAAGAGTGTATTGATTTGTTGGGTCTTAATTGGCAAGGCAATGGGGCAAGAACAGTTAACTATCAATCTTGATTCTCAGACAAGGCAAGTTGATTCCAACTGATCAGGGAGTGCAGCAGATTCCAGGCGTCTCCGTGACCTCTCCTTTTGAAAAGGGTGCAATGCTTTTAGCATGTGCAAATCATTACAATGGCAGCCCAGCTGATAATCTTAAATTTGGTTTCCAGTGAAAGCTCTTAACACAGACTCGATTCATTAATAAATGAGTTCCAATAGCAGAATCACATCGAATGGTTGATGTACTTTTGAGGCTTGCTGGCATGGGCTGGTTGAGCGCAAGCTGCATGTGCCAGCTTTGAATGATCAATAAGAAATGTTGTTTGTTATTGTAGAATAATAGAATCATAGAATCCCTACTGTGTTGAAGCAGGCCATTTGGCTTATCGAGTCCACACCAACCACACGAAGAGCATCCCACCCTGTCCCTGCATTTCCCACCCTAGACACTATGGACAATTTAGCATAGCCAATCCACCTAACTTGCACATCTTTGGATTGTGGGAGGAAACCCACACAGATGCAGAGAATGTGCAAACTCCATACATGGTTGCCTGAGGCTAGATTCAAACCAGGGTCCCTGGGACTGTGAGGCAGCAGTACTACCCACTGTGCTGCCAGTCATTGAGATATACTTGGCATATCGCTGCATTGGAACTTGTTTATTACGTTACTGTACTCAACTGTGTGTTAGGTAGACTTCTGCTTCCTGCAGTTTTTCATTCTGTGGAGTAGTTGGATTTGGGGAAAATCCTAGAATAGCTTTTCTTTAAGCAAAGTATCTCTATTTTGAATTCCTGAGATTGGCCAACTCAACAGAAACCCAGATTAAGTCTGAATCATTCCCATTCTCCATGCCTCTGGCATAAACCAGGCACTGCAGATGCTGTTGAGACTTGAAGGGAAAGCACTGTTTGAAGTCAACAGACTTTTCAAACAAAAAGGGATTTGAGGCAAAATTTTATGAACTTTCCATTTTTAAAAGGAGCACTATTGATTAGACTGCTGTTTTGTTGTTTGGACTAGCTTTCCATTAACCTATTTTTGAGTAAAGGTGCAACCTTTTTGGTGAAAGTTACCACTGGAACATGATGGTGCAAGTTGGTATTCTGTACAGAAGCTCACATCTGAAATTTTTCCACTGTCTTTACAGTTTACTTCCACTGTAATGATTCCTTGCAAGACAGCTGTTATAAGTTTGATTAAATTTATTTTGTTTTCTCTCTTTTTTTGCCAGTCACCGCACGTCATGGATTGCAGAGTCTCGGTAAAGTTGCCGCAGCTCGGCGCATGCCACCCCCTGCAAACCTACCAAGTTTAAAAGCAGAAAATAAAGGCAATGACCCCAATATTTCTTTAGTACCAAAAGACGGAACAGGATGGGCAAGCAAGCAAGAATCACAAGACCAAAAGAGGTAAGTGTTTTGGCTACATGCACTGCCCTTCAGTGTTATGACTTGTGGCTGTGCCAAGTTCTTGTTTACATGATATTAATGCATAATGGATGACACTCTGTAGCCAGTTTTCAGTACCTTTTTTTAAACCCTCAAATTGTGTCGGAATCTTACCATCAGTTTATCACCCTTTCGCAGAACGACGAAGGATCGGAATGGGTGTTTGGAGCAGGAAAAGAACGATAAGCCCCATCTGAGGCTGTCTTTATTTGACCAGTCCTACTTTCAATCTTATCGCTGTATCTCTCATTTCCTTCTATCTGTATGGCGGGACCGAAGTGCCTTTAATGTGCTGGCTGCCTAATTACATTTTCCTCACCTAAGCAATAATTTTCTGGAATACATTTGCTCCCGACATATTAATTTTTTCATTTGCACTGCCTCATACATGACCTCTTTTGATATAGTGAATAATTAGGTCACGTTAGTTATCTTTATAGTCTTGAAAGCTTCATTTTTTAATGCTTCAAGTCAAGACCTTTCCCACTTTTTTTACCTGGTCCATCTTTGTTTTTGTGAGTTTATCTCTTGCTAGTTTCTGCAAATGTTTTTGGTTAGTCCTATTTTCTTTCCAAGTAAACAATTGTCAGTACCAAGAGGTGAGACATGTTTAAACTTGCAAATGACAGATTTGGGACTTGCATTGGGAAATGCTGCTTCTCAAACATCAGTTAACATGTTAAGTTGGCTTCTGTGAAAGCAGTGGAGCTCGAATAGCCTAGGAATTACTTTCTTAGAAGCTATAATGCAGGAAATAGCAAGTATCTGTTCTGATTCTTTTTCTACTTCTCTGGAATTTGACTTGTGATTTTAGGTTGAAATAGTATTGCAGGTGAAATGGCCACTTGCTCCTTCCCAATCTTTAAAATTTATGTTTGAACCATGATAAGTTATGATCTCCAGTTTGCTTGATGACAAGTATTTGTTGCTGCGTTTGAAAAATTTACAAACAAAACTCACTGAAGAATTGTGCAGTAATGGGGTAAGCAATTAGGATTGCCTGAGGTTTTATTGTCTTTGGGGACTGCCCGTTGTAGTGTGTGGACAGCCAATCCATCCAGTATCTGTGATTTGTTTTGTGCAACAGTACAAGCTTCACCTTTTACACCATTGCCATTTTGGTCTTCCACACTAGCAAATTGAACAATGGCAGGTAATTTTTATAAAAACTAAACCACTTTGGAGCTCTCTTTTAAAACGCAGTCCACTGTTTCTGTTGCAGCCAGGCTTAATTGGGTCTGAATTGTGCAGCTTTAGATTTTGTCGGTTGGAGTTCAACTACCATCTAACCCAGAGGTGTATCGTAACCTGTCTTAAAAAGGTGATCAATTTTTTTAGGCTCTTACAGACCAGACCAAAACCCCCTCAAAACATAACAAGAACGTAGGGTCTAGGCTAATTACTTATTTTAAAGGCAAGTGTCAGGCATGGCATTCCAGATGCAATTCAATCGGACAAACTACCAGATTTGAAGCAAAGCGGACTTTATTCATACACTATAGTTAAAACAAAACAAAAAGAAGAAATTGGGACAACTTAACTCTATTGGAAAATTCAACAGAATAATAAATTTATTTAGCTACGAGACAGTAACTGTTCCAAAAATAGTAACAGCCCATAAACACACCCTTGGCAAAGGCAAATTCAGTAAAATAGACTATCTCATGCAATTCTCCAGTCCAAGAGGAAAAAAGCCATTGAGAAAATTGAGAGAGAGAGAGTGTAGCAAGAAGAGATACTACTGAAAGCTAAAACTAAAAATCTTGGGTCAGGAGGAACTTGACCCCACCCATTTCAGGCTGCTTCTATGTTCCAACTTTTAAAAACAAACCCAAGGCCTCAGCTTTTTACTTTTTTTGTATTGAAATATACAGCTCAGCACCCTGCCTTAAAACATCTCAAAATGGATAAAATGCACTCTTAAAGCCATGATTTGGAGGTGCCGGTGTTGGACTAGGGTAGATGAGGTCAGAAATCAGACAACACCAGGTTATAGTCCAATGAGTTTATTTGAAATCACTTGATGAAGGTCCAACACTCCAAGCTTGTGATTTCAAATAAACCTGTTGAACTATAATCTGGTGTCGTCTGATTTCTGACCTCTTAAAGCCATAGCATTGTCAAAGCTCGTATCGGTTCTCACAAGGCCTTCAATGAGATGCCATAATGGACTAATAAATGCGATTAGAGAATGTGGATGCAAAGGACCAGATGTTGAATAGATTGATAGTTTGGTTTCAAGAGCGATCCAAATGTCGGAGTCAAGTGTAGTTAGTGACAGGTGACACATCTGTTTTGAACAAGGATCAGTGTGGAGACCATGGCTATTGACCTTTTTTATATTCAGCTGTGGGATGAGGGCATTGCTGGCTAGGCCAGCATGTAATGCCCATCCCTAAATGCCCAGAAGGCAGTTAAGAGTCAACCATATTTTGGCAGATCTGGAGTTTCGTGCAGGCCAGACTGGGTAAGGCCAGCAGTTTTCCTCCCCAAAACTAAGCATTAATGAACCAGATGAGTTTTTCCAAAAATCAAAAATGGATTCATGGTCATTAGACTCTGAATTCAATAAAAATCTAGAATTAAAAGTCTGCCATCTGTGTGACAGGATTTGAGCAAGGATCCCCAGAACATGACTTGGGACTTTGGTTTAGCAAACAAACTAGGATTGTATATATCAAATGTACGATTTCATGGTGGTGTTTCTTCGTTATGCAAGTTAATTAGTCAGCAAATGAAATTCAATGCTGATAAATGGAGTCTTACATTATGGTAGGAAGAATATGGATGTCACTTATTACTTGGAAGGTGCAAGTCAGGGTGGGTTAGAGGAATAAAGGGATCCAAGAATATAACAACTGCTTATTGCAGTCTTGCGTTGCAGGTTAGTAAGGGCGTAACAAACACTAGGCTTCTTTTCTCTAGGGATAGACTTGAAAGGAAAACTTAAACCCCTATATCAAATGTTGGTTAGACCACAGTGTGCAGCCTTGATCACTGTATTGTTAAAATCTACTTTGGAGACCGTGCAGAGGTGATTTACAGGAATGTACCAGAAATACTTGGGTATGAGGTATTAGGAAGTGATCAATTGAGCTGCATTTGAAAAGAGGGCTTCAATGATCAAAGACAGGAGTTTTAAAATTATGAAAGGTTTTGAAAACTTAGATCTTGAGAGAATATTTCATCTTGTGGGGTACAGCATGACTAGAGACCATCAATATAAGATAGTCACCAAGAAATCCAGTAGGGAATGCAGAAAAATGTTCTTTAACCACTGAGTAGTAAAATTGTTGAACTAGCTGCCACAAGTGGATTAAAGCAAATAGTGTGGATGCTTTTAAGGAACAACTGAGCGAGTATATGGAGAAGAAAGGAATTGAGGCTTTATTTGATGCCTACAGTTGGGGAAAGATTTGCAGAAGTTAGGGTGGAATTTAAGTACTGGCTTAGCCTCTGTGTGTGTGTGTGTGTGTGTGTGTGTGTGTGTGTGTGTGTGTGTGTATACGTCTGTTCTTCATCCTTTGGCTCAGGTCTAGGTTAAGACGATACAAAATTCTGTTATCGCATTTCTCTTCCATTATGCATAATTCCAATTGAGCTAAGTGACCTGAAGTTTAATTGCAGTTTTGTGTTCTGTTTTGTATCGGGGCAAAAGGGTGAAAAATCATGCCAGTATTTGTTAGATTTCTCTTCAGTTTCTTTTTATGCCCCATTATTCATAGTTTGTGGTTGATTTTGTGCAGTTCAGTTTACTTATACTACTGTCGCATTGTCTTTGCTTAATGAAATTGGGAAGTGCTGACATGAGTAGTTGCATGTACAGCTGAGGTTTTATGTCTGCATTAGTTTAATCATCATCTTCCCAAACCACTCCGGTATTATTTTGAATCTTTTGGTTTCTTCTTCTTAGTTTAATCATGATGTGCCATTGTGGTGGCTGTTATGATCCCAGCTGATATTGCTACTGAACAAATCAGATTCCAGTATAAACTTTACTTTACTTTAAAAAAAACTTGCTCATCCTAAGATTTTCAGCTAATGGTCTAGTGCTCTTTCTCCTCTGTATAAGCACTCTTTCATTAGCATGCCAGGGTTCTTGCAGCCTTACCATACTAGTGTAAAATTTTATGATTCTTGAACAACTGAGTTATTTTGTGAACGGATTTTAAAAGTTATTGACGACCACCCATATATCACTAGTTTAAAATCCTAACTTTTAAAAAGTTGACATATGTTACCTTTTCATCACAATGACATGGCTGAACCTGGCCATTTTGTTGGGATTGAAGTTGAAAGGACATGTTTAATACTTCAAAGTGAAGAAGGAGATTTATATCAAATGTTTGTCTTAAATGTGAAACTCTCATCACCAACACTACCTGTACTATCAACCTTTTTTTTAAAACAGTAATGTGTGCTGTTTGATTTGCTCTTCAAAATGGAATCCCTTCAAACTGAATTGATTTTTTGCAAAGGCCCTTCCCTTAAGCTCCCCTGAATCATCCTTTCCTACAGCAAGACTCTTGAGCTCCAAGTTTGACGTTGCCCTGCAACTAATAGACTAGCCAGAGGGTCATGTAAATATGAAGAGGGCTATACAAGCACAGAGTACATGCCAGGTCTCTGTGGAACAGTCCAATTGCCAATAAACTTATTTATCTTGAGGATCCATCCAATCTCTTTTTGAATGGCTTCACTTTGTACAGCCTTGTTGGCAGGACAGTACCATTTGCATCCCACCCAAAAAGTAAACCTGTCCTATGGGTTTTCTCCCATCAGTTAATAAGACCAGCACTACTTCTGTCTGTTTCCTAACTACAACTCTTCTCAGTCTCTCTGAGAACACCCGAGGCTAAGCCAGTTGTTAAAAATCTTGAATGGTGCATTCGATCCTAAGATGAGCTTTTCATCTCTCATTCCTGCCATCACTAAGACTGCTTATTTCCAACTTCATAATATCAACTTTACTGCCCTAATTGCACCAATGCTATTTTGTGCATCCCAGTTTTATGCATTGACATCAAATCATCTATGTTGTTACTGGGCAGTGGGGATGAGTAGGATGCACATTTCATGAAAGCAATGTGCAGCTTATCATTTCAAAGCTAAACATCAAGGTACATTCCTCTTGGCAGCAGCAGCACCTACTTCTCCTCCCACCAGCTAAGATATGAAGGGCCAGAAGCTTTGCGATGTCACTGCTCAAACAAGGGGACATGAATGACTCTTTCTCAGAGTCATTGTGTACAGCAAAAATTGGCCACAACTGCAATGAGGGTGAGTGAGTCTCTTTTGGGCATTTAGTATACTAGACTGCTTAAGAGGCCTGTGCCCTGTCTCCAGAGATTCTGCAACGATGTGGAATCTGTCTGAACCTGGTCTTTGTTCATCGCCAGTCCTTGCTGCTGATGGGTCACTGCTGCTCTCAGGTCTTAAAAGGATAGACGGTAGATATTTCTATCTGTTACATCTCCCCTTGTGACTGCATTTCTGACCCTGACTCCATACATTTTTTTTTTTCCTTGGCCATTGGTGCATTCTCCAGTGTTGAGTACCTGTTTGAGTTCATGTTCAATCTTGGTAATCATAATTTAAACCTTGGCTGATCCCCCCCCGCCGCCTTTTTAATGGTGTATTTTCTGTTTCTCCTTCCTCTACAATTTTGAGTGATGAAGTCTGTGGTGGATGAAAACCTGTACTCAGCACTTCAACATTGTCCTTCATTATTTTCAGTACCGATGCATCGACAGCTCAGCAGCCGGAATTGCAGCTGCCGCCGGCTTCACAGACGTCTGGCTCCAGTCAGCTGAAACGTCCAGCAGCAGCAACAGCAGTGGTAGCAGCTCCACAGGAGGTGGGTGGTACTTGTGATTTGAGTTTGTGATTGTATTAGTTTGTGGCTATTGTTGAGACTGCCGGTAGCATATCTGGTATTTTTGTTTTGCCATACATCAGGGATGTTCTTCCCCTCACTGTCTTCTCATTATTCCTTTCTTCCTCCCTGCAAGCCACCCAAGTGAACACGTATACTGAGGAAACTGTGTCTCAATTGTGGAGGCACTAATTATAATTAATCAGTCTTCCTTAAACTCACTTGGGGTGCCAGAGAACTACAGAATTTTCAATGTTAGACCCTTGTTCAAGAAAAGGTATAAAAAGTCAAGATGACAGGCTGATGAATGAGGGGGGCAAGTGACAGATGAAATTTAATGAATGGAAGAGAGAAATGAAACGGTTAGGCAGCATAAAATAAGTGCACAAGGAGGTGCAGGAGCAGAGGGACCTGGGTGTAAATATGCATAAATCATTGAAGGTGACAGGTAAGATTGAAAGAGCGGTTAACAAAGCATACAACTTCCTGGGTATTATCATTGAAGGTGAAGAGTGTGCAAGCAATGAAGTTGCTAAATTTGTATTAAACTTTGTTTCATTCTTAACTAGAGTATGTTGCCAAAAAAAACCAAAGAACTGCAGATGCTGGAAATCAGAAACAAAAACAAATTGCTGGAGAAAGACAGCAGGTCTGGCAGCATCTATGGAGAGAAAGCAGAGTTAACGTTTCGGGTCCAGTAAACAACTTTCGGAGCAGATGTTGTATGTTGTCCATTTCTGAACATTGCACTTTAAGAAGGATGGTGTGGGAGCAGGAAAAGATTCATGAGAATGGTTCCAAGGATGAGAAATTTCAGTTTTTGTTGTTGAATTGGAAGAGTTGAGACTGTGTGGTTTTTCTTGCTATAATAAGGTTGAAAGAAAATTGGGCATGGTTACTACCTAATGACATTATTTACTAGGCAACCCTGAGTAGCAAGTGCTTAAGATCTGCAATTCTCTGCCTTAGTATGGTGGAAGCAGGGCTTTTGTAAGGAATTGGATTGTTGTCTGAAAAAGTTGGGTGAGGAGGGAGGAAGTGCAGGATCAAAGGAAAATGCAGAGGTAGGAGTTACTTCAAGTGAAATTGCTCCTTCAGAGACTGCCTAAAGACCACCTCTGTGCTGGAATTATTCTCTTTTATGTTTCAATCCTATTTCAAAAGATTATAGCTTAATGCGACTTTTATTTTGTGTTTCTGAATAGTTGCTGACAGAATTGCTTCATTATTTGCCAAGCTATGCCAAAGGATGCACTATGGTATCAGCATTGCACATACACAACTGGGCTTATATAAACTTAGATTGTACGTAATCTAATTTGTTTAATTTTTTTTTATAAGATGTTGTTTAAGATTGCTAAATCCATACTAAAGGGCTGTGGATCCTCGTGAACTTTCATAGATTTTTTTTTTTCCCACTTGGCCTATGTCTATATACTGCCTTAAAGTTTCTTGCTTTACAAAAAAAATCGCTTGCCCCTTCCCTTTTTTTAAGACCGTGTCCTTTATTTTTGCTTCTGTCTTGGGGACAGCGCACCAAGATGTTGTCTGAGTCTGGAGATGAGCGGCTTGTAGAAAGACTGGAGGCATTAGAATTTTTTTTGTGTTTTTTGGAGGAAGCAGGAGATTAGGGTAGGGTTAATTGATACATTGATCTTCTCACCATGGAAACAATAGCTGGACCATAAAAATATAATAGAATGTCTGAAGGTGTCAAGGGGAAGCAAGATGTTTGTTTACAGAATGAATTATGCTGACTTGGAATTTGCTGAATATAGATTGACTGGTAACTTACAAAATTGAATTGGAGATGTATTGAAGGGAAGAATTGCAGGGAGCTGGTGGATTGTACCAGCTCTTTTCTCCAGAGAGCATGGGCTTAAAGGGTGTTCCCTATACTGTAAAATCCCCAAATAGACCATCGATATCTTTTGTGCTTCTCCCCCAGCCCCAGTCTCAATATTGTAACTGCATCTTTGGATATCTGCCCAACTATCTCTATAGCCTGCGAGCAAATGACTTGTCGATTCCAAGGTATGCTGAAAGCACTTGCTGACCAAACAAAATTTCTGATGGTGATCAATTGCCTATTTATTTCTGTTAATTACAGGCCACCCCTTCAGTACAAAGCGGAACAAAATCATGGGCACAGGCGAGTGTTACACATGGTGCACAAGGAGATGGTGAGTTTAAATCAACCTGTCAAAATACTGCTTGCAAAGGGAACAATTCAGTTCAACTTTGATCATGACAGTCTGCAGTATATCTATGCAGTGTGTTAAATGTTCCAAGTTTCAATTGGGGGAATTGAGAATTGAATATTTCACTTTATTAACTCATTTGATGACATCTGATTTCAGCTGAGTTGCTCTGCTCGGGTATTGGCAAAGGTTGGCGACAGCACTGTGTAGCCTTGAGGTGTGCCCGTTGCTGTACTGGGAATTTCTTCTATTTCCACCTTCATTACCTTATTTTGCATTATCAGCAGATTGCATGACAGGCCTTTTGGCCATGTACAGATAGGTTAGGTTAGGGTTTGTGCCTACACCAGTAAAATTGATTCCGAGAATAATGAAGGACACGTAGTTTCGTTGGGGTTTGGATTTAAACTAGACCCCAAAGATAGATGAAAAGACATTTGAGTGTAGAATTCTTAAACGACATGCTGGCAGTGGAATACTTGCCAGTGTGACACTTCGTTGGTCGGGCACAGGCTCGTGAAATGCACAGCAGTTTTCTAGTTTTCTTCCCAAACTCAGGTTTGTCTTCTATTGGACCATTTTTCCTCTATCCTTTGCCACTCTTGAGTAAGGTAGAAGATTAGTACAGATTTTGTCAGATGGCTATGAACCTTGGCCCTAGAAGTGAACAGTCTTAAGTCTCTGTGTTGTCCAATTCAAGAATTGAAAGAGTGTTTAATACAGCTTGTGCATCTTAATATTTCTTTTAAACTAGAAATAATAACTGAAATAATCTGATCAGAGATGCTATTGTGATGTCAGTGTTGTGACCTGATTGGCTGGTTTTATTATAGTGGCTATGTTGCTTGGTGTTAAGGTGAGTACTCGTTTTTTTGAAATAACTACCTTTACGTTAAAATAAATGTAGTTCCATGGACCTATTCAAAAAGTGCATCTATCAGGAAAGTCTGACCCCACAGGTTTATGTATGAGAAACAAAAGGGGCAAAAGGAATTAGTAGGGGTTGTGTGTGGACCCCAAAACTGCATTAAGCAGGAAACTGGAGGTGCATGCAATAGAGAGAGATATTTGTAATTGAGTGACTTTTATCTGTATAGAGATTGGGGAAAATCAGATTAGTGCCTATACAGCAGAGGAGGAATTCCTGGAGTATATATGGGATGGTTTTATAGACAAATATATTGAGGAACTAACTAGAGAACAGGCCATCCTAGACTGGGTATTATGCAATGAGAAAGGAAGAATTTGACAGTCTAGCTGAGGTCCCTTGGGAATGAGGAACCGTAATATAGAATTCTCCACCAAGATGAAGTGAGTTAGTTGATTCTGTGACTAGCATCCAAGAATGCATGAGTGAACTGCAACAATTGTTCATTCTTGTCCAGAGCAAAAGTACAAGAATGGTGGCCATGCATGGCTAACAAGGGAAATTGGAGAAACTACATGCTGTACAGCTCTATGACTCTTAGATCCAAGGAAGGTGCATACAAATTGGTCAAAAAACAACACGAGCAGTGGGAGTAGTTTAGCATTCCTCTACAAAGAACAAAGGGATTAATTTAAAAAGAAAATTGAGAGCAAGAGTTAGCTTGCGGGGAGCATAAAGACTGGCTATAAGTTTCTATAGGTATATGAAGAGAGAAAGATTAAGCTAAATATCTTTACAGTCAGAGGCAATTTGTAGTGGTGAACAAGGGAATGGCTGACTGACTAAATAAATACATTGGTCCTGTACTCATTAAAGGAGGACGCAGGTAAAGTCGCAGAAATATTGGGAAACACAGGGTTTAGTGAGAGGGAGATACTGAAGGCAATCTGTTTGTAGGGAAACGGTGTTGGGGAATTTGATAGGATTCAAGGCTGATAAATCCCTCGGCCTTGATAACCTACATCCCAGGTAGTTGAAGTGACCCTAGAAATAGTAGATATATTGGTCATCTTCCAAGACTCTATACTCACTATACCCAGTATTTAAGAAGGGAGGCAGAAAGCGAACCAAGAGTTTATAGACCAGTCAACCTGTAATCAGTAATGGACAAAATGCTAGATTCCATTATAAAAGGATTAAGAGCTGAGCATTTGGAAAATGGTGGTCGGATCAGCTGGTCATTGTGGGTTTACAAAAGAGAAATCACGCTTGACAAATTACCAGATTTCTTCGAGGATGTAATTAGTAGAATTGATTACGAAAGCCAGTGGATGTGGTTTATTTGGACTTTTAGAAGGCTTTTGACAAAGTCCCACAAAAGAATTAGTATGTAAAGTTACAGCGCATGGATTGGGCCTAATGTACTGAGATGGTTAGAGAACTGGTTGGCAGATAAAAAGCAAAGGGTAGGAATAAACAGGTCTTTTTCAAAATGGAAGACAGTGACTATTGAAATATAGCCAGGATCTGTGCCAGGACTCCAGCTATTCACAATATATGAATGATTGGTTGGTTGGGGAAACTAAAAGTAATATCTCAATTTGCCAGTGACACAGCTGGGTGGGAGGGTGAGCTGTGAGGAGGATGCTGAGACGTTGCATTTTGGTTTGTACAAACTGAACGAGCAAAGGCATGGCAGATAAGGGGATAAATGTGAGGTTATCCACTTGATAGTGAAAATAAGAAGGCAGATTATTATCTGGCTCATGAGAGAGAGTAATGTACAATGAGACCTGGGTGTCCTCGTACACCGATTGTTAAAAGTGAGCATGCAGGTGCAGAAGGCAGTAAAGAAGGCGCACAGTATATTGGCCTTCATAGCAAGAGGATTTGAGGCCAGAAGCAGGGGTATCTTGCTGCAGTTATGCAGGGCTATGGTGAGACCACACATGGGATATTTGTCCAATTTTTGTCTCCTTTTCTGCTCTTGCTATAGAGGGAGTGTAGCGAAGGTTTACCAGACTGATTCCTGGAATGACAGAACTGACGTGAGGACAGGTTGAATTGGTTAAGATTTTATTTGCTGGAGTTGGAAGAATGATGGAGGAAGTCATTAAACCTATAAAATTCTAACAGAACTAGATTGGGTAGTTGGAAGGATATTCCTGATATCAGGGAGTCTAGAAGCGGGGTCGCAGGCTGAGGATAGAGCTGTACTGTTTAGGACTGAGATGGGGTGTAATTCTTTCCCCAGAATGGTGAGCCTGTAGTATTTGCTACTATAGAAAACTGTCCAGGCCAAAACATTTTCTGAGATTAAAGGATACGGATGGAAAGCAGGAATATGCTGTTGCGTTGGATGATCAGCCATGATAATAATGAATGATGGAGCAGGCTTGAAGGGCTGAATAGCCCAAGTCTCCTGTTTTGTATTTCCAAGGAAATTGTTAGCCCATCTAATATTAAGAACTGACCCCTATATTGGTGCTGTTTGTTCAAAATAATATAAAGTTGCCCAACTTCAGTTCAAAGTATCAACTGCTGGTTTGAAGCCTCTATCTTCTAATACTACTAAAGATAATGTAGAAGACAAATGTTGTTTGAGACTTGAAACTGGTACTTGCATTTTCTGAGACCAGTACCATTTATGCTTGTGACGTGCCTACTTGGCTTATTCTCCTCTGGCTTCATTCAGGTACGAGATTGAGACTTGCAGCATGATCTGGTTGATGCATGTTGTACACACAAGACAACTCCTGTATTAATTGGTATTCTGGTCCTTCAGAAAATAAGTTAAGGTGTGACCTTGCTGTTGGGTGTTTGAAGATTCCCCAGCACTATTTCATGAACAAAGAGCTTTTCCTGTATCTTGGCCAGTATTCCTTCCTCTCTCAAGTCTGAACCAAAAAGTGAATTAATTGCTTGTCTCATTGCTATTTATGGAACATTGTTAGCATAGCTTAGCATATGGATATTTCAGTCATGCAAAGAACCTGAAAAAGTCGTGAAAGCTGACTCAATCTTTTTCAAAAGATAATTGGATAAAAAGTTGGAGAGAAATTGCCAAAACACTCGGGCAGAGAGCAGTGAAGTGGAAGTATCTGGATGTCTCTAATTTAGAAATATGACGCTGGCGTAATGGGCCGGATGGTTGCCTCCTGTGCAGCAGCATTGTGATTCTTTGAAATAACTCGTTGTATGGAAAACTTTGAAAAGGGCTACATTAATGCTTGTTTGTGGAAGTGGAACACTCACTTGCTATTGGATGGACTTGCTTTTTAAAAAGTGAAAACCTCTTGCATTCAGGTGGAAAGGGATCAAACCAACAGTCGCCATTCTCTCGCGAGGAATTTCCAACCCTGCAAGCGGCTGGAGATCAGGACAAAGTTGGCAGAGAAAGGGACATTGCAGATCAGTCGTATGGGCCAGGACCAAGCCTCCGCCCTCAAAGTAAGCATTTCTCCTCCATTGCACATGTTTTTGCTTTTGGATTTTTTTTAAAGTTTAAAGTATGGCTACATTAGAGCTCTGAATTTTTTTTAAAGAAACTAGTTGGTCATGTAGAATCAAAGTGCTGCTTTTTCCAAGGATGTCACTGTTTTGTTTCTTTGCTTTATAATACGAGATGAGGTAGTTTGGGAAGCCAAAAAGCAAGTGGGTGTTCTCCAGCTGTGCAATGAAATTCGGTGTTTTCTTATACAATTGAAATTACAGAAAGGATCATTTATCCCAGGAGGAAACCCTTCTTGTGAAGGAAATCGAAATCTGAGACTTTTCCCCCTCCCATGTAGTTGAGGCTCGTGGATCAATTAAACCTTCAAAACTGAACTTCATCTTGTTAGTCAAGGGAGTTGTAGAACTAGGGTGAGTGAATGAAGCCAAGGTACAGATGGTTGTTTGGTGGAAAAGACTCTAGAGTCTTTATGATCTACCTACATTGGATTTATTTGTGATCATTGGTAAGTGAGGTTTTTATGCCAGTCTGCTAAACTATGTTGCTCCAGAGATGTACAAACAATGGATGCCCATATAGAAGCAACAAATCAGACATTGTCCATCTATTCACAGACTGGGGCTGGTTCTACAGTGCGACGGAGATAGGGCTATAGAAATAGACCAGCTGGTCTCAAATACAGATGCCGTTGGCTGAATGGTTTGCTGCTGTACTGTAAAATTCTATGAAAGGAACTTTTATTATAAAAGTCTAGCATCTCCTCTAATTTTCTGCAGCATCTAGATTTTTTTTTAAGGAAAGCAGGCTTTTGCCATGAGTTTCTTACAAGGAGTCTTTGGAAAAAGGAGTGACACTGGTGAGAATTATTGTTGATCCTTAATTGCCAATGGAAGGTCTGAGTTAGGGTATCTTCCTAAGTGGGTCATTTTGATGTTTTCAGATATTGGGTTTGATTATTTCAAGATTTTCACCTGAACATTTAATATTTATTGTATTAATACATTGTGATAGTCTGCACTCTGAACTGGCTGTCTCCATACAATAGCATTTTTCCCTTTTAAAAGACATTATGCACCAGAATCCTGAACGAAACTGATAACATACAGTACCATCAAATTGACAAGTAAGAATGACTTGGGTTTTGATGTAGACAGTTCATTCAAACATAGCTGTGAGCTACACTGGAAACATTATTAATGCATTTTCCTGTTTTGCAGCTGTTGCATGTCCTGTATATTTCAAACATCATTTTGACTTTGACTTTGAACTTTATTTGCATTTGACCACACCAAGGCTATCATGTCTGTCTTGTACTTCTGAAAACCTGGTCAGGTTGCCTTTGCTTCAAGGGGTGTTTGTTAAGCATGAATCTCTTTGAGAAGTGAATCATGACTGCTTTGAAAGCAAGGACTGTGATCTTTAGAGGAAGGCGTTGTAGAGACACCTGAAATTACAGTTTCTGTCAAGCTGAATAACAGATGTGGTGTACAAATTGTTGTCAGATAGGGGTGGTGGAGAGAGAAGGTCATTCTAAAGATCAAATTTCATGCACTTTCCCTTGCTGGCTTCCTTTTATGTCTTGATAAAAAGGTATTGATATAGCTGCACTGTTGATACAACTTCTAAAGCTGAGGTAACAGGGGGTTTAAGCATTCTCTTTGCTGTTGCTGGGTTTAGCTAAGCAGCCAAGAAGGGTGCTGTTATGAAACGAAGATTCACGTGCCATGCCACAGATGAATGGGAAGAATCAGCATGCTGTCGGTGCCTAGAATGTGAATGCCTAGAAAGATCTGCAAACTTACAAAACATCTTGGTTTAGTTGTCTCTGGGAATTGGCCAAGGTTACCACTCGTGACCACGTAGGACTTTAGCTACGGTAGTCTCCACAATCAGATCATTTTGCTGACTCAGTAATAGGCTATATGTAGAATGGTAACTTTTGGGGTACTGGAAAATTGCTAATGGCCTTAAGATCACGATTCAATGATAGTTGGCTCTATTTAGGAGAATGCAGGCTGACCATTTTCAGAGAGAAAACCTTGTGTTGAGGTTCAATTTATACAAAGAACGTGTAGATGGAGGAGCTTTTTCTCCTTGTAAAAGAGACTAGAACTAATGGACTGTATTGAAGTATAAAAGGTTTTAAAATTAAGACAGCGATTGGAATTTGAGAATCATTGGTTTGCAGGATTTTTTTTTTGTCCAGAAAACAGTGGAGACTGTCATTTGAACTTTTTGTAAGGCTGAGTTAGGTTGTTATTAGACAGGGAAGTCTAGGATTGAGAGCAGTCAAGATCATGGAATTGAGACCATGATCGGATCAGCCACAGTGCTTTTTGAATGCACGGTGAGCTTAGTGCTGAATAATCTACATCTGCTCTTAAGTCCTATGGTCCTACGTTATCACGGATAGAGAATTTGTTAACAGGAGATGGAGTCAATGTAAATGGGTTCAGTATTTGGGCTTTAATTATTTACAGTCAATATCAATAATATGAAGGGTCCAAATATATGGACGAAATAAATTTGCTGATGACAAACGGACAGATAAAAGAAGTGAATTGTAAGAAGGACGTAAAGATCCTTCAAAAGGAACTTAGATCGTCTGAATGGGCAAAAGATTGGCAGATGGAGTGGGACGTAGGAAAATATGAATTTGTCCGGTTTGGCAGGAAAAACAATGAAACAGCATATTATCTAAAAAGAGAGATTGCAAAACCTGTGCTACAGGGGGATCTGGGTACAAAAAAATTTGTACGCAGTTATTGCAAATGATTTAGGAAGACAAATGGAATGTTGTCACCTGATTTGAGGGATAATCGCCCTTTTTAAAAGAGGGGGATTTTGCTGCTTTGTTTAGGGTATTGTTCAGACTAGTTTCATTTTAAGAAAGAGTATAACTTCAGTAGAGTTGTAGTCATGCAATCAGAGCACAAAAGAGATGCTTTGGCCTAATTGGGTCTGCGCTGACCTATCCATGCTAATCCCATTTTCCAGCACTTGGCCCAAAGCCTTGAATTAGAAGCAGTGCAGAGAAGATTCACCCAGTTCCTTCTGGGATGAAGGGATTCCTTTTTGGAGGGAAAGAAAATGAGCTGAAAAGGCTGATCCATATCCATTGGAGCTTAAAAGAATGAAAGGTGATCTTATTGAAACACACAGTCCCAAGGGGACTTATAGTGGTTGACAAAAAGATGCTGCCCTGTGTGGGGGTAGACTCCCATTTAAAATGAAAACAGTGTTTTGAGGGTTATGATAACGTTCTTGCTTTTCTTTCCCTCATAGATGTGACCAGCTGGAGGGAGGGTGGTGGGCGGAATTTGGGTGCTCCGGGTGGCTCTTTGATCGAGGGGGAAACCAAAGAGCTAAGCCCAGAAGAAGCAGCAAGCTCTACAGCATCCTCAGCCGACCAGAAGGTGACTGCAAGGATGGCCGAACAACCACCTAGACCAGGGATCGGTGTACCACAGCAGGCAGTTCCCCAACCGTACCCTCCACCATTTAGGGGGATGATGCCAGCTTTCGTAAGTAGTTGAGAATTGGGCAAAGGGGATCGTAGGAAAACTTGCAGTTGACAGTAGTTCACATAAAATGCTATTCTGTTTTGATAACTAATATGGAGTCGCCTTTGAACTAGTGGAACTTATTTTCAATAATTAATGGGTGTTAACCATATTCCATTGCTTCACAATGTATCCCCCATTTAAAACTAAAGCTCTCTTCTTGAAGACCGGATTTGACTGACAATTCTAGCTGTATCATTTAAGATCCAGTTTATATTTAGTGACAAAATTCCCATAGCAAATGACATCACTGTTGAGCATCTCAGCATTTTTACATGTGATGGAAACCTTGCAAAATTTTGCAGTCGCTCTATAAATTCACTGCTGACCAGAACTCCTTTACAAGATCACCTTGGGCCATTTCACTTCCATGGGCCATCAGTCAGATTGTTACTCGAAGCCACAGCACTGTGGCTATCACGGTTGTATGATAGTGAAAAGGGGGTGGTGGGTTAAATGATAATGTATTGGTTTAAAAGGAACACCCATTGATATACTTATATTCTTTGCCACAAGTAAACCACCATGGACATTCTTGGGGCAACAGGCAGTTCACAATTTAAATTCTAGTAGATTAAGTTTATTTCTAAAACATTATCACTTATAATTGAAACCTATTATTTAAGATGCAGGGTAAAGACGACAACAAGAAGCTTGGAAAGCATTGCTTACTACAAGAAGTTGAAGTTTGATGCCAGGCTTGAATTTAAGAGTTTGTAGATTGCTAGAAAGAAAGCCTGAGGGAGTTATGAGTTGGGGCAGGTGCCATTGCACACTGTTCCTGCCTGTGAAAAACGTCTTGGCAATTAGATTGATTCAGTTTTTTTCAGATGTGTACGCAGATGTATGTGGATTGTTATTCGTTCATTTTGTGACTGGACTGTGTAAAAGGTCAGAGCAGCTGGCGATCTGCTCTAATTACTCCACACAAAGGAACAATTTTGCCAGTTGTGAACATTTTGTTCATTTGATCCAGCTCCTCTGTGGCTGGTCAAAACTTAAGCATGCTGGCGTGAGGCTAAGTGCTGTGTCCCAGCACTCCATCCTTGCAGTTTTGAATCACCATGTGTTGGCTTGATTCAGTTCGTACTAAGTAAAAATGCTGTCAATTCAAGCCTCACTCTGGAAATTGAACACTGGTGTATCAGCATATGACTGAGGGAATGCTACTTCATGAAAAATGCAATGCTGTGACAGTTCAGATGAACATTTAAATATTCTGGTACTGGTTTAAAGGAGAGCAGAAAGTTCTGACACTGAAATCATATTCCTGCTTTGAAGCTATTGGAAACAAATTAATCTGTACACTATTCATCAAAATGGCTGGGTTTGCATCTATAACTAACTGCATTTCAGTTTTAATGCAGCTGTAGAATTCTGACATGTCTCTGAGTCATGACAAAGACTATCAAACACATTACATTTTTCTTTGAACTGCTAAAAGTCAGAGTTGCCTTTTTAACTAGTCTGAATGGCTTAAAAATCAAGTAGTTGCTTAGTCCACTTTCCTTGACCCCTGTGTCATTTTGCTGTTTTCAGATGTATTCCCCATATTGTGGTTTACCGTTTCCTACGCCTTATGGACCACAGGGACCATACAGATACCCACCACCCGATGCCAGCAAGTAAGTTATTTTCTCCTGAGTGGTAATTTGTAGTTGCAAGGCAAAGTCAGCACTTGAAATTGAAACCTTGCAATTTTGATGCTTTTTAGAAGCTGGTATTAGACTTGCTTTGATCGGAGCACTACTGTGTTTGAGCCAGAAAGTTAATGCGCTCAGATCCCAATCTAGAGACTTGAATGCCTCACAAATGTAGTTTGTTGCAAAATGCCCCAAAGCATTTCCTTCAAAAATCATGGAAAAATGGGCATTGGGTTTTTCTCAATCCTCTTTGTGGATCTGAATACAATAGTGTGTGCGCTTCAAAAGTGCTTCATTGGTCCCTTGTGATATCTTGAAAGGTGCTTTCCAAGTTTGTTCTCTACTGACTTGCTTTGGCACCTTATTACAATATTGATTTTATAATCCAAAATTATTATAACATTGAACTTGTAGAGTTTTCATGACATTGTGCATAGTTTGTCATTTAACCATCACTTCATGGGCAGCATTTCTTGCAAAGAACACTGGAAGAGATGCCGGTCATTGGGACAAGTGTGTGGGAATGAGATGGCAAAACAAAACAGATTCTAGGTTTTTTCTTAAATGTGGGATATATCATGGCTCTGATTTGCCTTTTGGGAATTGTATGGGATTGGATGCAAAGCTGGCAGTTGATTTTTCTCTTCATTAAAGTCAATGATGGCATTAGGCATCATATAAATCTTGTGGCCTGCCCAAGTTGAAATGCCCTCTTGTTTTTCTGTCCTTTCTGTACCTGCTTCCCAACTACAGAAAAAAACTTTTTTTTTCATTTGTTTGCAACAAAAGTGGGCCTTTATGCCAATATATTTTTTTAAAAAATGAAAGAATTGCAGATGCTGGAAACTTGAATCAAAAACAGAAATTGCTGAAAAATCTCAGCAGGTCTGGCAGCATCTGTGGAGAGAATCGGAGTTAATGTTTTAGGGCCAGTGACTCTTTCCCCCCCCCCGCCACCACTTCAGAACTAATTTTTGGTGGAAAAAACAGTTATATTTATGTTCTCTGCAGTTTGCCATGCCTCCTGCTTTGGAAAAATGCCTTGTTTCATGCTGGCTCAAGCTTCCATTTGGGGTGTTTTAAGTCTGGCTGTTATGAGAAAAAAAATTAAAAAGTTCAATAGACGTTTACAACAGTTGGCAAGATATTGAGCCATACAGACAAGGAACGTCCAAGACAGCAGAAAAGTTAAAAAACCAAAAGAACTGCGGATGCTGTAAATCAGGAACAAAAACAAAGTTGCTGGAAAAGCTCAGCAGGCCTGGCAGCATCTGTGGAGGAGAAAAGAGTTAACATTTCTGGTCCGGTGACCATTCCTCGGAGCGGAAAAGTTACTTGGTCAGCTGAGGAGGGATTCCCAACCCCAGATAAATGTGGATGAGCAGTAGGCAGGGTATGTTACTATGGGGGGAGGAAAAGCCAAATTTAAAATGATGGTTGATCATTTTCATGTTGATCAAGATTGTGCTGACCCCACAGACCGAAGGAGAAGAGACTTAGCAAATCCTGGGTTCAGTTTCTTGCAGCTGTGCTTCAGGGTAGCCTGGCTTACTTTCTGCTGTGAGAAATACTCTTGAATGGAGGAGGATTTCATCTTGGAGGCAGATTCTTGATTTGTCAAATTTATGGCATAGGAACAGGCTGTCTGGCCCACTATGTCTATGCCAGTCATATTGCTATTCTAAACTAATCCTATCTGCATTCATATGGTCCATTTCCCTTTGTTTCTTGCATGTCTAAGTGCCTCTTAAACATTCGTATCTGCTTCTACCACTTCTGGCAGTGTGATCCAGGCTCCTATGCTCTTGAACACACTTTTTTCCCCCTTCTCACCTTAAATCTATGCCCTCTGGTAGTTGACGTTTCCAGCCTGGGAAAAAGACTTTGACTATCCACTATCCATGCCTTTCAAGTTTATATTCTTCTGTCAGGTCACCCCTCGGCCTCTGATACTGTAGCGAAAACATTCCAAGTTTGTCCAATCTCTCCTTACAACCAATACACGCCAATCCAGGCAACATTCTAGTAAACCTTTTTCACCCTCTCCAAAGCCTTCATGACCTTTCTGTAGCGTGGCGACTAGAAGTCCCCACAATACTCATGTGGCCAAACTAAAGTTTTGTACAGCTGCAACAGGACTTGGAAATTTTATGCTCAGTGCCCCACTGATGAAGGCAAACATACCATACTCCTCCACCATCACGTCATCCACTTGTATTGCCACTTTCAGGGAGCTAGGGACTTGGACCTCAAGATCCCTTTGTGTATCAGAGCTCCTGTGGGCCTTACCATTTACTGAGTTTCCTCTTGCATTTGACCTCGCAAAAAGCATCACCTCTCGTTTTTGCAGATTAAACTCCATCTGCCATTTCTTTGCCCAACTTTCCAAATGACTTGTATCCTGCTATATTCTTTGATAACTTTCTTTACTATCTACAACTCTGCCAATTTTTTGTGCCGTCTGCAAACTTACTCATCAGACCACCTACATCCAAATCATATTACAAACAGAGGGCCCAACACTGATCCTTATAGAGCACCTCTGGTCACAGACCCCCAATCGGAAAAACGCCTCTCACAACTACCGTCTCTGCTATGGCCAAGCCAATTTTGTATCCAGCTTACCAACTCTCTGTGGGTCTCATGTGATTTAATCTTCTGGACCAGCCTATCTTGGAAGGATTTTGTTAAATGCTTTAAAGTCCATGTAGAAAACATATATTGCTCTACCTTCCATTAATCATATTGGTCACTTCCTCAAAAAATTCATTTGAACTTGAGACAAGACCTCTTATGCCCAGAGTTATGCTGACTGTCCCTAATAAGTCTATTCTTTTCCACATGTGAGTAAATCCTGTCCTTGATGTTCTCCAGTAATTTCTGTTGTAAAGCTCACTGTCCTATAATCTCCTGAATTATCCCCGTTCCTGCCCTTAAGAGAACAGCATTGGCTATTCTTCAGCCTTCTGGAACCTCATGTGGCTAAACAGGATATAAAGATTTTCTGTCAAGTCTCCAGAAATCTCCTGTCTTGTGGGTTGGGGATCAGTGGTCAAGAGTCTGGCAAATGGGAATGCGGCTGAAGGGACCTGCCTGAGCCCAGAGGAGATGGTCAGAAGCCAAAACCTTTGCTCTTTGTCCAGCCATGTTTGGACCCGAGGTAGTGCGGGTTTAGACACTGTACCTGATATGGATAGAGTTTGCGATTAACCACAGTCAGAAATCCTACAGATACTTGCATGTAAGGAATAGCCTTTTTATAATACCCTGGCACCTTGTCTAATTTTGGGCACTGCTGTTCAGGAAGAACATGAAAACTTTATTTAAAGAGGTTTTAAGAGTGGTACTTGGGATGATGAGCTTAAGTAACATGGTTAGATTGGAGAAGCTGAGCCTTGGTGGAGAGCAAATTTAATAGCGGTTTTAAAAGTCATGATGAATCTGGATAAAGTATGATATGATAAATTGTTCCAATGGCAGAAAGTCCAAGAACCGGGGGCACCAATTTGAAGTGATTGTCAAAACAACAACAGTAAGAGTGTATTTTTTTTTCTGGCCACAAATGGTCAGAATTTGCCTGAGAGTGAGATGGGAGCAAATTCTAAGAGGCCTTCAGTGGGGAACTAAATAAGCATATGAACACAAAATTAATAGTGCTTTCAACAGAGGAAAATATTCACAGGAGCAGTATCAATGCAAAATTTGACACATGTGAATGTGAGGGATTGAGTCAGATGAACAAATATCTTGTATCAATTTAAAGGAAGGTAGATGTTGACAGTAGTCATGCATGTAAGTGGGATCCCAGATCTTGTGATCTCAGCAGCTGAGAGCTCAATTTCAAATGACAGAAAAATTAAAATTGGGAAAAGATCAGCGCAGTAAGGTACTGGAAAATCAATAGCTTGTGTACTTGGGCACCATGTTCTGGCATCACAAAGCAATTAAAATGAAAGAAGGTAACTGGAAACCAACCTTCTTTCATGGGGAAAATCTTGAACACAGCTTTTGTGGGTCTGAACTGAATTCGTATTTATTTTGCTTTGCCTTTGCCACATAAAACAATAGCACCTTGTGTACACTTCTTCATAGATTTCCTCGTGTACCAGGACCTCGACTTCCTCCACATCCAACGCGGATGTCCGAAGCAGTGAAAAGACCCTCCATCCTCAAACAGGACGACTTGAAAGAGTTTGATGAGCTTGAAAATGAGACTGATGATGGATGGGCTGGTAAAACTCTAAGGGCTGGGAGAACATCTCCTGTTGTGACCTTTTTTTATTTTAATTCTTCAGCTACCAGAAAGTCTGTGGGAATTTGTTTCACACCAAGCAGTGTTTTAAATTTGTATGCTGTTGGGACATGACACTGAGACAGACAGCTACATGACTTTGTTATTGTGGAGTTTTGGAAATATCTTTATTATAGTATCAACCAAAAATTACTTGTGATTTTAACCAGTTGTGTTGCTTCTCTAATCTTGCTGTCTTTGTGCCTTTCCACACCCTGCCACCTCCAAGTTCTTCATCCTATTTTCGTTTCCATTTTCCAGTCTTGAGTTATCTTTCTTTCTCCCCCACCCCCCACCCAATTGGGTTAGCAATTGCAAGTCTGGGAACTGGAGAGAACTTTCTCTTGTAGTTGCACTGTTAATATATCATAATGACTGGAGCAACTGTATCTCCGAAGAGTGGTGAGGTGGGTACAGAGATTGTTTTACTTTGTGGGTGGGTATTGTGTGGTTCACTATACTTTTAAACTGTCTTGTTGCTGATCTGGACTAGGGACAATACGTTATGGAAGTGGAAATTTGAGCGAGCATTTACCATTCTGCTTGTTCCACTACTTGTATTTTTACTCTTACAGGAGCACACGAGGAAATAGACTACACAGAAAAACTAAAATTCAGTGACGATGAAGACGATGATGATGCCGAAAAGGGGAAATCTGAAAACTGGTCAGTATGATAAAACATTTGTTAATCCCAGTAAATGCAAAGAAGTGCAGAATTTGTAGACTTATGAATTTTTTGCATCTTTTAAATTCAATTTGTTTTTGTTTTTGTTTTTGTTTGTGTTTGTGAGGTCTTGTATTGAACTTGTGCTGTTGTGATTTGGTAGGGTTTAGCCGCATTAAAAATGTGGAGAAATTCTTTACAAAGGTAAAGGTTTGATTACAGTGCATTGTAGTAAAAGAGGAGAATTCATGCTGACAACTGAGTAAACTATGGTTTCATCAAACATAACTTGTTACCTTAATTTATTCATTTCTTGTTGGTTGAGTTTGATTCTTAAAGCCCCCTTTATACAATCGTTAGTTCCACTGCCTGTTCCTCTACACTCCAACCTTTCCATTTACATGTGTTTTATGGCTAATTGCACACCAATTCACTGCAGTCTGTTTTTTTCCATATTTGGCTGGGGAGTCAACAAAATAATCATTCTAGTATCATGGTGATCTGATATATAAATGCTTAGTTATTATTGCCATGATCCAAGTGTGGACAAGGTTGCTGTGTGCATTGATGAAAATAACAGTCTTATTCTTCTCTGCAGGGATGGCCAGACAAGTCGACCAGATAGACAGGAGTTGCGCACCTCTGAGAACAAGAAGGATCCCCCCTCAGAGGAGCATTTGTCTGTCAAAGCGGGTCGAGGTGAAGGTCCGATCTCTGCCCAGACTGAGTTGGGTCCGCTTGGGCCCCAACCACCCAGAGTTTCTGCGAGCTGGGGTCCTGCTGTGGATCACCAGGTACATGGCCAAGATGATCAATATAATGCGCCATTTTTTTTTTTCCTGATTGATGTTCATCTCTGTCGGTTTTCTCTAGAAGCATGATCTCAGTAAATGTGATGAAAAGGCTTTATACAATCCGTGGGTTTTTAATCAAACTAATTTGACAGTCAAATACTGTTGAAGCCCTGTTGAAAGAAACTTTGATTTCCCAAATGGTCATTTCAAAGCCCCCTTGTTTTCTTTGTTTTTGGCACTGTTCCATACTGGAATTAATGTTGATTTTGGAATTTTTGCCACTAGATAACTACTAAACTGAAAGGCTCACCTATAAAGTGAGGTTTCCTGGAGATTGCAGTTTCAAGGGGACAGCTACTACCAGTTAACTTTAAGTTGGCATCCTGTCAGATTGCTGGTGTTGGAATTGTTACAGTAGTGGGGATGCTTGTTTGCATTTGGGCTGGTGTCATTGTTGTTAGAGGACATGAAAAACTTTTTTATTTCTGAACTAAATTGGTTTTAAAAACCAACGTGGCAGTTCTTTTGTTTCACCTCTTGGGGAATCATTTTGCATGTAGCTTTGTAGTCTTGAGGTCCGTTGTCAGTTTTCCAGACCAGACTTGACAAATGAGCAGGTGTCACTCTGGTGAGCTGGAGAAAATTGGGATCTGCTAGGGCATGTTGATATTAAGGAGGAGCTGTTGGGTGCCTCGAATAACATTGTGGTAGATAAGTTCCTAGGGCCTGATGGCATCTATTCCAGGATACTGAGGGAGGCAAGGGAGGAGAATGCTGGGGCCTTGACAGGGATCATTATATCCACTTCAGCCACAAGCAAGCCCAGAAGAGTGGAGAGTGGCCAGTATTGTTCCTTTGTTTAAGAATGGCAACAGGGATAATCCAGGACGTTATCGGCTGGTGAGCCTTACGTCAGTGGTAAGTAAATTATTGGAGAAGATTCTCAAGGACAGGATTTACTCTCATTTGGAAAATAATGGGCTTATTAGGGATAGTCAGCATGGCAGAACATGTCCCAAAATTGATTTGAGTTTTGAGGAAGTAATGAAAATGATTGCAAGTGGATCAGTGGATGTTATCTACATGGACTTACTAAAGTATTTAATAAAGTAATTCATGGTAGGCTGGTACAGAAGATCAAGGCACATGGAATCCACAGGGAGTTACTAAGTTGGATATGAAATTGGCTTGGTCATAGAAGATGGGTAGTTGTGGACTTTTTTTTGGGACTGGAGGTCTGTGACTGGAGATGTTCAGCAAGGATCAGTGCTGGAACCTCTGTTTTTAGGTGTGTGGGGAGGTAGAATATAATAAAAATCGTATGATTTGGATGAAAATGTAGGTGGTCTAATCAGTAAGTTTGTGGATGCCAAATTGGTGAAGTTGTGGATGGTGAGGAAAGTTATCAAGGGATACGACAGACTATGAGTTGGAAAGTTTGCCACACTATGGGAAGGGTTTAGAGGCTTTGGAGAGGGTGCTAAAGAGGTTTACCAGGATGTTGCCTGGATTGGAGCATATTAGCCACAAGGAGAAGTTGGACAAACTTAAAATTCTTTTTGCTAGAGTGTCAGAGTCTAAAGAAGTGACCTGAAAGAAGTATATAACATTGAGAGGCCTGGAGTAGGGTGGATGGTCAGTCTCTTTGCCGGGGTGCAAATGTCAAATACAAGGGGGCATAGACTTGGGTGAAAAGGGGAATATTTCAAGGGAAGTGAGAGGCCACTTTTCAGTGCAGAAGGTGGTCGGTGCCTACGGCGTGCTGCCAGGGGAGGTATTAGAAGCAGGTAAGGTAGCAACAATTTAAAAGGCATTCAGACAGTCGCATGAACAATGTGCGAGCAAATGGAATCAGTTTAGAATGGCAACAAAATGGGCCTAAGGGCCTGTCCCTGTTCTATGTTTAAAAACCTTCCATGTGCCAATACTGTGAGCTGATTACATTTCAGCAATTAATCTCACTGATGTCTTAGTGGGGACTGTTATTCTTGGTGGAGACCAGGAGGTGTTTAGGATTGATTTTCAGCTGAGACACAACCAGACAGCAGTACAAGTGCTGCAGTTGACCTCCAGAAGGACTCATTCAGTTGCTTTCTAGTGATTCATACTAGGGAAGCACATAGTATGTGACTGAGTTGTTGTCCACCCAGGCAATTTGATAATCCTTGCTGTCCAGGGTTATAAATGAGTAACCAAAATATTTCAAAGCAAATTGCAGCTGTATTGAACTGTATCTTGCTTTTTTTCTAAAAAAAAATGTGGTAAAGGCCCTTTCTATCTGACGACAACTTCAAACACTGTGGGTTCTTTGCAAGTAATTCTGTCAGTGTTGCATCTTTTGATTCCTATACCTGGAGTGAATACGGTAGATGGAGCTTTGCTCCATATCTAAACTTAGCCAGGATTTCTGGGTGGAAAGTGTAGCAGTCCCTTGTAGTGCATGGTCTAGAACTGTTTGATTCTGCCCCACTGTGGATCTGAAATGCAAAGTGTTCCCCCAGCACTAACCTTTTGAGGTAGAAATCCAAGCAAAATTATACTGCTAAAAGTTTAACTTGCAATGTTCTTTGATTTTGGGGGACAATTATTTCTGCTGATCGTGAAAGATTTTAGGTATGCAAGTCTGCCTTTTAATTCTGCCCCTTCCACTTCACTTATCCTTACCCTCCCCTCCCCACCAACCCACCCCTCCACCTAACACTTATCACTGGGGTAAAATTTCTATTAGTTTAAACTCAATAACTATGTCTTTTTAGGGTCGAAGGACAGGCATGTGCTCACCTCACGAGCATCAGGTTGCTCAAGGTTCGTACAGCATCTACAGGCAGGCCGCTTCCCCCAGCATGCACCAGGTTTGTAGGGTTAGCAATAGGTTATGGTAGATGACTGACTATTTTGACGTTACAAAAAGTTTCTTGGTTTTGCATAAAAGTTAGCTTAACTACATCTTCTGATTTGAGATTCTGAGGGGTGGGCATTTGAAGGGTGTCGTAGTAAAGGATATTATGATTTCAGAGGTGTGAAAGAAACTGAAGTATCTGGAGAATCTGACAGGATACATGGATTTTATTGAAATGAATACTTAAGAGAATGTTACAGGTTTCCTGACTCATAAATCCTAAAGCATGCACAATGCCTATTTGGGTATATTTTGAGACTGTAACCGCTTGAAAGGGATCTTGCCTCTTACTGCGAGGCAGCTTTGTGCAATAGGTAGCAGTGTGTTTGGAGAGACTTCTTTTTGAATACAGCACAGGTGGGAATTTTAGATGATCTGAGGCAATCAAAACCATGACAATGTACCACTGAGTGGATAATCAATTGATTAAAGATTAACATATTTTAAGTAACTTTTCATCTCGCTCCTTCACTCTCTCCTCTTCTCTGTTCCCTGCCAGTTCCCAATTTCTTTTCCTCCCATTATGTCCATGCAGCCCTTGACTTTTCCTTTTCATGTTTTTTTCCTTGTTTAAGCACACTGTACAAAGATTTCTTTCTTACAGGAGCAGAGTGGCCTGGGCCAGTGGTATCTTTGTGGTACTGCTGTGGATGTCATTCTCCAATGTCAATTGAGTGTTATTCCAGAGTCTGAGATTGTGTGAACCTTAACTACTAGAAGTTGCCTGTTGCAGCTTCTTCACTCCAGGACCTTTGTCCCATTTTGTTCTCTGCTGGCCAGCATTTTGTTCTTAGTGTTCTGGGATAGTGTTGCTATCTCTGTCGTCCTGAAGCCTGTCAGCTAAAGGTGTAGCTATGGTGCTTCTGAAATTTCTGTCTGTTCACAGAATAAACTTAATGCTCAGTTTGATTCAAGCAGCCTTGATAATAAATCTCTAAAGTCTGATGTTTCAACACGCACGGTCTATGCAAAAGCACCATGCCCTCTACCTGCAGTCATGCTGTACAAAGCATCCTTTGATCTGTCCAGAACTTGTGGTGAATCTGATGGGAGATGTATTTCTTTCCCACTAGCAGGCTACTGTTCCCCAGGAAAAAGCTAACCCTTCCCTAGTTAATCAAAAGGCTCCCGTGGGCGAAGATGAAGATGAGGCCTGGCGTCAGCGGCGCAAGCAGTCATCAAGTGAGATCTCCGCTGCCGTGGAGCGGGCACGAAAGCGGCGTGAGGAAGAGGAACGCCGCATGCAGGAGGAGCGTCGAGCTGCCTGTGCAGAAAAGCTAAAGAGACTTGATGAGAAGTTTGGCGCCTCCGAGAAACGCCAGAAGTCTGAGCAGGAGAAAGAAGAGGCTTCAGAGGAAAAAGAGAATGAAGAGCCTGTGGGCTCCAATAAACGGCAGAGAACAGCCAGCAGCGGCAGTTTTGAAATGACGCAAGGTATTTGTTTTTTACTATTTAAAGAATACTAGCATTTTGCTTGTGATTCTCCCTGTTTTGTGTTCAGACAGTGCTCTGCAACTGGCCATGCACGTGACCTTCTGTTCCTGTCCTATTTTGGGTGAAAGGTGCTTGTAGCCTTTTTCATTTAGTCTTTCCCACCCTGCAAGGCAGGCCTGCTATACTTCCAATTGACAAGCTGGCTAGAATGGGGAATATTTTACATAGAGATGAAGATTTCGTAAGTTTTTACCAAGAAGTTATTTTGCCATTTCACAGGTGACTGGGGTCCAAGCAATAGCTGCAAGCTTTTAACTTGGGACTTCCTTAGAGGGTCTAGAATGGAACAAATCAATTGTAATACTGACTTGTTTTTATTTTGGCTTTTTCACTCCCAGCTGAACCCCCACCTCCTCCCGAAAAGGAAACTGTTGAAGTGAAAGAGGAGGCAGGGGTGGTGAGAGTTGAGTCCAAGGTAGAAACAGTGGCACCGGGAAGACAACCTCCACCCTCCCAAGGCTATTCCAAGTATCAGAAGTCCTTGCCGCCCAGATTTCAAAGACAACAGCAGGTAAACTGTGTGATGGCAAGTAAACTTTTCTCGCCTGGAATTAAGGCGGTGTGTAGTTTCAGTTGCACAGACACTGGAGCAATTTGCATGGAAAGCTAAATAAACTTCTGTTTGTTTTCCATGTAAATTAATGAACAATCCACAGGAAATAGCAGAAGAACAGAATAATCCGATTAATGTGTGTTATTTGGTCTTGTGCACATAATTTGCATGGAGCAAATGATAGTTAAGAGGATCTAATAGGATAGACAAAGGAAGCTATTGCTGCCTTGATTTAATGCCAGTGCGTATTCTAGAATTGGAGATGGATCTTTCGGGAGTAAAATTAGGAAATACTTTTACACACTGAAGGTGAAAGTTTGCAACTCTAGACACAGTTGAGATCGGGTTAGTTAATTCTGAACCTGGAATTGAAAAATATTTGTAAGCATAGAGTTGAGAACTGATGTGCAGAGGTGGCTGAATGGCTTTGGATCATGGATCAGCTATGAATGAACAGGCTCAGGGATACGGTGTTCTTGAGACCAAGTTTGGCTGAGGTATTCACATCATACTTGTAATGGAAGCTTTTTTTGCATTTGTGGTTACCACTTGTTCGGTTTGCTGTCCATCAAAGAAGAGATCTGGTAATAGGTTTTGACTTTTAGAGTCATAGTTATACAGCACAACTCAGGCCGTGAAATAATGCTGAGGTTGTGTGGCCTGTCCTACCTCCAACTTTTGACACTTGTGGTATTAGCAGACAGTCCATATTTCAATATATACAAAATGATGACTGAGTTGGGGAAGAGTTTGAATACCTATGAAGCTAATTTTTTAGCTGGATTGTGGGGCTACAGGGAGATCTGACAAAGCGAGGTCCAGTTAGAAAGAAAACATGGTCAGAAAGTTATGTCTGGCATCATGCTGTGCAAGATTTTTAACAGGCCTCTGTTCAAAGACCAATTTGTTAATCCAGATACCACTGAGGTTGGACTGTCAAGTAAGAATAGCAATACGCTTGGCTATGATACCACCCTGTAGTCAATTGACCTACCAACTCCCACTGCAAAGTAGTGGATAAAGGTAGTTTGCTGAGTCAGGTAACTGGCTGCAAGCCTGTAGACCTTTAGCGTCCTTTTTTGATCAAAGACAAAGGTCAGGAAAATGACGACAGTACAGTTTTCAAGACTCTTGTGCATGTACTGTAGTGCTGTGGCACCTGATATTAGTTGTGACATGTGTTATCTTTAAAATTCAGGAGCAGCTTCTTAAACAGCAGCAGCAGTGGCAGCAGCAGCATCAGCAACACCATCAGCAGCAACAGCATCAGTCTTCCCAGCAGGCCCCTCCGCAGCAACCAGCACAGCCGCAGCCTCTTGCCATGGCCCCATCGGCACCCATGCACCCTCAGCAGCAGAAACCCATGTACCCAGGCTCCATTGGCCGCCCACCACCACCTATGCCCCCGATGGGTTATGACCCACGTTGGATGATGATGCCTCCGTACATGGATCCTCGTATGCTACAAGGCAGGCCCCCTATCGACTACTTCCCAGCTGGCGTTCATCCTTCAGGTGAGTGGGCAACTTCTGGCGTAGAAAATATTGTCCAACACTGCCCTGACTTGTGTTTGTTTTTTTTTTCATTTAAATGTTGAAATCCAGAAGGTTGCACACGTTTTTAAGTGGAGAATTTGCAGAGTTTGTTTAACTTTGAATGGTGGATTGAGCCACAACATTTACTCTCATTGCTGCCACCTTTGTTGTGAGACAGCTTGGACTAGAAGTCATCCTGATGGCAATTGCTGGTGGTTAATCCAAATTCAACTCGCATGCAGTTTCATAGAATTCGTACAGTGTAGAAGCAGACCATTCAGCCTATTGAGTCCTTACCAACCCTCTAAAGAGCATCCTACCCAGATCCACCCCTCCATCCTATCCCTGCAACGCTGCATTTCCCATGGCTAATCCACCTAACCTGCACGTGTTTGGACTGCGACACGTGGAGAATGTGCAAACTCTACACAGCTCGAAGCTGGAATCGAACTTGATTCCCTGGCGCCGTGAGCCAGAAGCGCTAACCACTGAGTGACTGTGCCGCTGGTTACGAATTCTCGGCTTCTGTTTACTTGTCCCTGTAGTACTGAACACTCTACCATTTTTCAGTTAGTTTAATATTTGAATCCTAATAGTCCAATTTTTTTCTCACAACTTGACTTTGTGGGCCTTGTGTGAATGGCATTTCATTAGACCAGCCAGAGTGCAAGAACAAGACGAAAGACATTTCGATTAATTTCTCATTTTGTTTTAGGTTTAATGGCTCGTGAGCGTTCAGATAGCGGTGGTTCTGGATCTGAGCCCTTTGACCGACACCCTACAAGGGGTACGCCTCCTATTGACCCCAAGTTAGCCTGGGCTGGGGATGTGTTTCCACCAGCAGAGATGCGACCTTTGCCTTCGCCAATAAGACCACATGATGAAGATGACAAAAGTTTGAGGTCTGTTCAGATTTGCCTTGACACTGAGTGAGGGCCTTTGATACCTGGGGAGGTGTGGTAACTTGTGTTGGTGGTTGATGCATCTTCACAGATGATTTGTTTTGCAAGAAACTGCCCAGACTCTTTGAACCAGCTGCAATACAGACAGTATAGTTATTGTCTAACTTCAGTGAAAGAGTTCTCTGCTTCAGAGCCAGAATGTATTTGCCACCATGTTGGATGCAGGTGACTTAGTTTGCTGCTGAATGTCCCAAGCTCAAAATTTAGGGCTATAAAATACATCTTGGCAAAAAATGGTTTGGAAGCCTTAATCTCACTGTCTTAATCAAGAAGTTGTGCTCATAGTTGGCCAGTGATTTAGGCATTTCGGGCAAGGCCTTTCTCAGTTTGACCCAAGAAATGTATTGCAGCAAGAAGTTGTGTCTGTTGACTCTGCTTCAGATATTCAGTTCACATTTTTACCTCCCAAGATGGCATCGTCCTTGCTCCACCTGCTCCTTTGATAACTTTGTTTTAGCAAAACTCAAGTAAAGATGTTCGTTTTAAAATTGCTGACTCTCCATCTGAGGGAAGAGTCTTCGTCTGCTTCTCAAAATTCTTCCTATTTTGATAATTTCATTAGATTATATTTTCATCTCTACTGCAGTGGAAATCATCACAGCACTTTATTTCAAATGAACTGTATCTCTGGAGAAACAGATGCAAGAGACCAAACCTAGACATTTCAGTTCTGTGCCCCAACATTATACTGATGTACTTTCTAGATTCAAATGCAGATTGTAGTGAATAGTGCATTTATGAATTTAACTTATGCAGTTTTAACAGACATCATCTTTATGCAATTATTTTAGTTCAGATAGCCCAATCGTGAGGAATAGAACTAGTCTGTTCTCTGCTTTTATGAGCATTTATGTGCAGCATTGTGCATTACAGATGTGTGCCTCCATATCCAATCCACAGTTTCTACATGAGCCCAAATGAATCTCCAGCTGATACTTGTCAAGTGAATCTGAATAAGCACTTGGTGCATCTATAGTTGATACACGTAGCCAGGGCTCAGTCATCAGATGCAACTTGGCAACTGAATTATTTAAGACCGAATTTGTTCCAAGTTAGCAGATCCCAGGCAATACTTCACTCGTTGGGAGGATGGTAATGAGGCAGAGGATTGGTCAGATATGCTCAATTTCCAAATGCAAGTTAGCCTGTTATCTTTCAGCGAAAATGTGTCTGGGGATTTGCCGTGATGTCCAGTGCATGCAGAAGTTTCCCCTTCCAAGTTGCAAGCAGATTACCAGCACGTGCTATTTAAGCTCACATGAAAGTCTTTCAGTTGGAAGGGCAGAGTTGTCAGCAGCTTTTGAGGTGTCATTTGGGAAGAGTCAGTGCTAAAGGGAGGGGCAAGATGGGGATATAGGCAAGTTTGAGTACAGTATAAATGGTGATATTTTAGTGGCTTATAAGTGATAACAGGCTATTCAGCGTTTTTGTAATGTAACATGTTACGCCATTATCTGTTCCTCATTGACTTTCTTTCTTGCACAGAAGTGAAACCCCACCAGTCAGACATCGAGACACAGGACCACCTCAGTCCTTTGTGAGTGGTCTACAGGTTTCAGAGAGTGGACCTCGGCATGTTCCCCAGATGCAGCGATACACACTGATGGACCGCCTGGATGAGCAGAGACAGGCCCCCTGGCAGAATTCCCTGCCCAGTGTTCAGGCAGAGCTGGAAAGGGATAGGCGGGTGGAGATGTCTTCACAGCTTCAGCATTCACATCTGGAGCGCAAGGCAGAGCAGGAGTCAATGCCTATCCGAAGGGAAACCACACAACTGCAAAATGAAGACAAAAAGGTAGAACAGCTCGTGATGCATGTGTCACGGGAATCTAGCCAACTTTCCAACACTCTGAAGAAGGCAGCACCCCATATTCAGGCTGTGGAGGTTCTGCAGCACAAGGAAGACCACTCGGTTAAAGAGAACAAGCAAGACGAGAATAGAAAAGGTGACAAATCCAACCGTCAGGATGTGCACAGACCTCAGAGGAAGGAATCAAAAACTGAAACCCGATGGGGACCACGGCCTGGCAGTAAAAACCGTGATGAGATGAGTGATAAACCTGCTCGGAGAGCTGGCCCCATTAAAAAACCAATACTGAAGGACATGAAGCGTGAAGACAGTGAGCAGGAAATGGAGAAGGGCAAGCCTGCATCGGGAGAGAAGACCCTTGTTAAGGGGAAGGACAAGCCACAGGAATTCAAGCCCGAGGCTGAGCCTTCAAAGCAGGACTCTTCTTCAAGTTTGAAAGTGAGCCAGCCTGCCTCTTCTGTGTCTGTCTCCAATAAGCCTTCGCAAGGCCCTCCTGTCTCAAATGTGCAGGATGACAGAGGGAAGGCAAAGCCTTCTGGGAAGGATCAGAGGCCTGAGAAAGTCAAAACGTCCAAACCACCTCAAAAGGACTTGAACAATGGCCCTCCAGCCTCTCGGCGGAATAGAGACAGGGATAATTCATTTGACCGTAGTTATTCGGGACGAGGCCGGGGCAGAGGACGCGGAGAGTTCTTCTCGCGGGGAAGAGGTTATCGAGGAGCCTACGGTGGCCGGGGAAGAGGAGGCAGAGGCCGCAGCAGGGAGTTCCGAGGCTGTAGGGAGCCCATGTACCGAACGGAGGAGAGTGGCCCTAAGAGCTCTTTCAGGCCACGGAACCCCAGTGAGACGCGCAGTGAGGGCTCAGAATATGAGGAGATTCCGAAACGCCGTCGCCAGAGGGGCTCAGAGACTGGCAGCGAGACTCATGAGAGTGCCAGTGATGTTGCTCACTCTGACAAAGAAGTCTCCTCCAGCTCCAAAGAGCCTCCCAAAGAGTTCCGAAATCCGGATCAAAGTCGTGCTGACAAGAAGAACAGAGCAGACCCCCCAAAGTTTGCAGACAAGATGCCTCCCCGGCTAAGTGACTCTTCACGTGGCAGGATCTTCACTCCACGTGGTGTGCCCTCTCGGCGAGGTCGAGGAGGTATGCCCCGTGGTGGTGGCGGCGGTGGTGGCGGAGGTGGCCGCCCTCAGCAAGGAGGCTGGGGGCCTTCTTCAAAGGTATCCCCTCCCAAGAAGCAGCCCTCAAAGGAGCAGGTCAAAGCCCCAGAAATCAGGCCTCCTGATGTTCCCCCAGGCAAAGAGTCAGAGAAAAACCTCTGTGAGAAGCCACTGTCGCAAGTTGGTGAGTCTACGGCGCCTGAGGGGCAGCCTCACCGGTCAGAGAGGCCCCTTGACAAACCACCGAGGAGGCGGCGTCATGGGCGCTCACAGCAGCAGGACAAGCCACCACGGTTCCGCCGCCTGAAGCAGGAGCGGGAGGTGGCTGCCCGCATGAATGGCGAAAGAAACCTCTTCCCTGCTGAAGCCTTGCCGCCAAACCCACCTCCCAACCCGCAAACAGAGGAGATCAAAGAGGTTGTGCGCAACGCTGCCGGCACCAAATCCCCCGACTTATCCAACCAGAACTCTGACCAAGCTAATGAGGAATGGGAGACTGCTTCTGAAAGCAGTGACTTCACGGAGAGGCGGGATAAGGATGGCATGTTCGTGAAAAATGCCCCTGGGGGCATCAAGTCAATTGATTCCAACTCTGCCCAGAAGAAAGAATCGTCCAAGCGTAGCTTCTCCAGCCAGAGACCTGGGATGGACCGACAGAATCGGCGCTCAAACCCAGGAGATTCAAGTGGGAAAAGCAACCGAAATAGTGCTGGATCTGTGAGGAGTGAGAAGCGGAATTGGCCTTCCCCAAAGAATAGGAGGTGAGTGAACAGTGATGGGCATGAGGCAAGCATCTGATAGAGGTGAAGCTGAGGTAAAAGAATAAGGTTAAAAACTCCTCCAAATTTCTGCTTTTTGTGACAGATTGTGCACTTCATAGAGGGGAAATTATAGCAGTATTTGGTTTTGGTTACCTGAGTAATTGAAGAAATCAGCAAAGTTGCCTGCTACTAATGTCTGTTTAGTGACCCTTGTAGAAAGTTTAGATGAGACCAGAACTGTATTGTTCCTGATCTCCTCTGGTGTCCCCTGCATGCACCCACTGAACTCTGATTGCTGACATTTTAGTGCTTTAAGATGGCTGATATCTAGGTGGTCTAGGCTTTTCTGTTGAAGAAAGGCCTCTTCAGTGCTCAACTAATTGATTGCCAGTGGAACCATATCTCGGCATGAATGGGCAACTTCAGGAGTAGGGGAGGGTAGGATATTAAAGTATCTGTACAACACTTAACCTGATCAAGTCTGTGGGGGAGAGCTGTTTAGTTTTCAAGTCTGTGCCATTGAGGAAGTAAGGCAGTCCAGTAAAGAGTTTGAAATGTAACCTTGGCAGGCCAGTGGAAGACCGGACAACTCTCACCGCAGCTCTTCCTCAGAATGCAAGTGCAGTGTTCAGAGTGGATAGGATCATTCCCAGCGACTCTGCTGCCATCCAGAAAGCCATTGCAGAAGTCAACAACCGTCACAAGGATCGCAAAATGGCACCTGGCAAAATGAACGAGAAGAATGACATGCTGACACAATTTGATCTGAACAACTATGCAAGTAAGTCCAGGAAGAATGTCCTTTAACTGGGTGGGTTAAGGTGATGTGTTTATTGTGAGCATATTGCCCTTCCGTATTGTTCCTACGGCAGTGGTGGACTATGAGGTAGGTAGACCCAAAATTCTATTGGGGTGGTGTCCCCAAGTGGAGTCAAAAGATGAAATGGGAATACAGTTCCAATTCTGTCTGCCTCTTGCACTGACCCATCTTCCTACCTGCTCTTTTTTCTTCACTATTTTAGGTGTTGTGATTATTGATGATCACCCAGCAGTTTCTGCAGATGATGAGTCCATATCTCCTTTAAATGACGGCTTTACCCGTGTCCTTTCAAAACGTCAGAAGAGAATTCTGGATGATGAGCGTCGCAAAAAGGAAGAGCATCTACTGCAGGTAAACTGTTCAAAGGCAAGCTCTTGTCAGGAGTGCAGCCTGTGTTTAAAGATTATCTAGATAATGGTGAATCTCCATTGGTATTTAAAGATGATAAAGCCACAGATTAGTCTTGTGTTCAGGGTAGGGTCAATGGCATTGGCTATGTGATTTATTTCATTTGAGTCTGTGCTGAAAACCAAGGTGGCATATGCTAAAGGTAACTTGAGGACAAAAGTGTACTTGATTGTGGTGTTCTCCATGGGCTGCCATTATTGGAATCCATATCTTGTACAGATCAACACTTCTGAAAATGAAAGTCAGTTCTAGTCAGTGACTTTGTTACTTGGCACATTGCTAGTCTTGGATCTGCAGCCCAGCCATAGCACATGGATGCTCCTCTGCATACTGTTGGTGAACTGTTTCAGAAAAGCAGCAAATTTGCAAAATCATCAAATCTTGATGCTACTTCATTGTAGAATGTCCGTGCAGAAGAAAATCTGAGGTAATAATGCTTTTGTGCTGAAATGCATGGACGGTTTAGAGAAATAAAACTCAACTTAGTTCCATTTCAAATTAATTAAATGAACATAGCTACCCATTGCCTTTTTTTTTTATTTCTTTCCCTCCTGCCCCCCATCTGCCCCAAAAAAGTCCTATTGGACCTTCAGGCTGAGTGTTGAAATAACAAATTGCGAAATTAGTAGGAAATGGTGCCGATCAAACCAGAAACCTCATTGACCAAGACCATTTGCTGATTTTTGCCTTCTGCCACGTGCAAGGACTGACTGCCAGCTGAGTTTGAGGGGTGGACAGGGAATGGTTTTGGCAGTGAGTTGTATTTGGAATCATGTGTTTTGGTTATCTTGTGGTACCTGATACTTCCTAACAGCTTTAATGTAATCTTTATTCGCCAGAAGGGTGTTAAAATCTGTGCAGTGGATAATCTGCATCCGTCGTTACCTGGCTTCCCCAAAAAGCAGTCTGAGAAGGTGACTCTTTGTAACATGGAGTCTGAAGAGAGCTGCAAGGGTCAGACCAACACAGCTGATCTGGGAACCCAGATTTGGAATACCACGCATTCCGGTATGTCATTCTATAGTACGAATGGGAACATGAAGTGCGGGCATGGATGAGAAGTTTTAATGTATCAAAGTACATGTGTAAACCTGTAAGTAATTAGAAGCTTGAAGAACTTGGGCAATATGTTTATTTGTGCACAACACCCAGATGACATGTTCTAAGAAATATATTTGCTCGCCAAGTGAGGTTTTAATTTTGGCTGCAACTTTTCATTAAACTGTCTTGAGTACACTGACAATTGCTTTGTCTTATGTGTGACACAAAATTGCAAAAAAAAAAATTAATACTCATCTAGTTAATAGCTTGTAGAACATCTCCAGATACCTGCCGTGTGCCTAGGTCAGGAAGTGAGCCAGGGATTCAGCTCCTCTTAATAATTGAATTAATCCGGTTGGCAGTGAATGCATATGAGATGAGGATAAACTGAGTTTGATCATGATGGCCCTCATCCAATAACTATCAACATTTGTTTCCATTTATACTTGAACAAGATTGCTAGGAGCTGCTGGCACTGAGAGATTGACAGGCTCAGCATGTGTTAGAATCTTCCAGCAGGTGTAGTAACGTTTTTGTGAAGGGATACTTGCAGCATTCAACATTTTGGCAAGAGCAAATATAGTTTGGGTTTTTAATTTTTCCTTGTGCTCTCAGCTACCTGTGAGTTCAGGAGAGGTTAACAATACAGGTAGAAACAATTTGGCTATTGTTCCTGTATCAGGTTTTTCCAGTCAAAATGTGATACACTTACATGCTGTTGCAAAATTAATTTTGCAGAGAAAATTGGGTTGCTGGTTCTGACTTAGTGGGGTATCTCTGAATTTAGAACACTGTGGGCTGAAATCCTGATGCAGAAATTTGAGAACAACCCAGGCTTTTGGATGAGAGGTCGAGCCAAGGCTCCTTCAGTTTTGGGTGATTGTGATAGATGCCAACATACTTTTTAAATATGAGTTGGTAACTTCTCCCCAGTCTTGCCCAATAATTATCACTGAACCAAAATCAGATTTAGTGATCATCACATTGATGTTTTTGGCAATTTACTGTATTAAAAAGTGATTAGTGATTGCTATGTTGCAACTGTGACCGCACTTCAACAATAACAATAGCAGAAAAGGGTGGCAATGGCCTAGTGATATTATCGCTAGAATGCCAGTCGAGACCCAGATAGCATTCTGGGGACCTGTGTTCGAATCCTGCCATGGCAGATGGTGGAATTTGAATTCAATAAATATCTGGAATTGAGAGTCTAACGATTACTGCAAATCCATTGTTAATTGGAAAAACCCATCTGGTTCACTAATATCAGGGAAGGAAACTGCCATCCTTACCTGGTCTGGCCTACATGTGACTCCAGACCCACAGCAATGTGATTGACCCTTAACTGCCCTCTGGGCAATTAGGGATAGGCAATAAATGCTGCCTAGCCAGCAATGCCCTCGCCCTGTGATTGAATGAAAAAGTTGACTGTAAACTTAGGGCCATGCATGATGCTGCAGAAATGACAGACCTTTCGTGATAAGTCTTGTTGAAGGAGATGACTATAGAGACAGTGGATGCCTTTAAAATTCTGAAGATTGCGGAGAGGATCCTATTGCTGGAAAATAACAATCGTAACCCCATTATTAAGAAGAGAGGGAGAATGGAGTACCACAGACCTATTACTTTGTCAGTAGAAAATAATGGTGAAATTGAGTTAGCATGAACTTATTAAAAGGAAATCATGCTTGTAGCCTAGATCAAGTAGAATCAGTGGGTATGTGTTAGTGGATTTTTGGTAGACTCTTGATAAGACACTATACAGGAGATTCTCTAAACAAAATTAGAGAGCATTAAATTAGGAATAATATTCTGTATGGATTGCAAATTGGTTAACAGCAGAGTAAGAATGAGCAGATTGTTCTCGGAACGGCAGGTTGTGACCCAAGGATTGGTGCTACAGCTGCAGCAGTTCACGACATAAATGATTTAGATATGGGGACACATTTTAATAACATTTGCAGATATGTTAGTTGCGCAACTAGTTGGGAAAACAAGTTGAGAAATGTGCAAGGCTTCAAGCAGACTTGTCCAGACTTGGGTGAATGGACCAGAACATGGCAGATGGAATGCAATAAGTGTGTTTTTTTTCTTTTTTCTTAATTTCTTCAGTGGCGAGAGATTGGGAAGTCAGTGCCCAAGGAACCTGGATATCCTTGTTCCCAATTCACTAAGTTAGCATGCAGGTGCAACTAACAATGGGGAAGGAGAGTGAAGAAGGGTCTAGGCCCGAAACGTCAGCCTTCCTGCTCCTCTGATGCTGCTTGGCCTGCTGTGTTCATCCAGCTCTACACCTTGTTATCTTGAGGAAGGAGAGTGTTGTGTTGACTGCATTCACAAGGGGATTTGTTTACAGAAGTAAAGTGTACGCAATGAGCTGCCAGAGGAAGTGGAGGAGCATGATATAATCACAACATTTAAAAAGCATCTTGATGGGTATATGAATAGGAGGGATTTAGAGGAATATGGGCCAAATGCTGGCAAATGAGACTAGATTAATTTAGGATATCAGGTCGGAATGGACGAGTTGGACCAAACCATCTATGCTGTACGTCTCTATGGCTCTGTTGTAGTTGGCCTTGATTAGACTTCCCCTGGACTATTGTGTACACTTTTTAGTCTTGCCCAAGGATATACATGCAAGAGAGGGATTGCAACAGACGTTCACCAGACTAATTTTCGGGATGGCAGGACAGTCTTAGGAAGAGATACTGAGGAAACTGTGCCTGTGTTCTCTAGGGTTTTGAAGAACGTGTGGTGATGTTGTTGAAATCTAAAATTCTTCCCAGTTGTGATTGTTTGGATGTAGATGAGCTGTTTCTCCTGGGTGGTGAGTCATGAACCATGGAACATAGCCTTGGAATGAAGGCTAAGTCATGTAGACTGAAATGAAGGGTGCTGAATCTGAGGAATTCTCTACCCCAGGGAACTGATGAAGCTCAGTCAGTGAGCAGGTTCCAGACACACGCACATTGATTGCTGGAGTTGAATGACACCAAGGCAATATGGAAAAGGGTGCAGGAAAGTCATGATTAGGTAGGTAGTCAGCTATGATCAAACTGAATGACAGTGTAAGTTCAAGAGGCTGAATGGTCTGCTTCTGTTCCTACGTCCATCCGGCCTCATTAAAGATACTTTCAATGTGATGATCAAGTTCATTGTGTGCAAAGGTTCTATTAAGGTGCACATGTTCATCACAGCAATCGAAAAGTCCCCAAATGCGATTGGGGTGTGTATGATTTTGCTGTTTAATACTGAGTCTTTGAACTTCTAACCTTGACTTTTTTTTAAAAGAAGGTAAAACATTCTCCCCTCACTAATCTTGCAGTTGGCTCCCTGACTCCTCCAGCAGCCTCCGGTCTGGATACTTGGATCAAACCTCTGAATGTCTTTGCAGAGGCAGCCAGTGCTGAGGTAAGCAATGTTTCCTGGACTCTGTAGATGACGTGTGAATTGCCTTATTCTGATTGAAAGTATTCGTTTCTTGAGTATCCTGCAGATGTAAGCATGTAACTGATTATTCGGTAACCTGAATGTGTGTCACAGGCCACAGTTAGACGGTGAAACACTGGTAATGGACATCCCTTTGAGATTGTATCTGTGGAGCTTTTTAGCATTTGATGTATGGGTGGTTCAAGTTCTACTGATCAAGTAGTCAGAAGCGAAAATAGTAGCAAATGCTACTCAAAGGCTGATCTTTCCATGCCTTTATTCAGGTAGATCCTATGATCTTTACTTTTTTTTTTCCCCTTTCCTATTCTTGAACCCTAGTCCCCAAAACCTGCATGGCCACTACCCCAATGCCAAGCTTTTCCCGAAGCAGTGTTGCACAACACTGTTTTGTTCCTTCTCTCAACAACTCCAATACAGCAGGTAACAGCCATACAAATAGAAGGAGCCCCATTGATTTCTACGTCATTGCCTGGTTTTTGTTTTCGTGTATCGCCATTTCCCAAAATTAGTGCCACATTATCTGGAATAAAACCAGAATGTGTTAGCAATGCTCAGGTCAGGCAGCATCAGTGGCAATTGAGAAAGCTGACATTTTAGGTGGCTGAGGAAGTTAAAGATAACATTTGTTTTGAGTGAGGGAAGAGAAAAGAATAAAGTAGTAGGTCTGTAATGGGGAGGCGAACAGTAGAGATTAAATCACAAAGGGAATGATGATAGATAAACAGGAAAGAAACTGATGTCTGTAAGAGACTGGCCGAATCACAAACTCCTGTCTGAAAACCAAAAGAGAGAGGCAGGAGGGATAAACTAAAACTAAAGAAAAATGGAACAAAATGAGGGTTGAGGTTTTGATCTGAAATTGATCGTTCCAGACGACGACAACAGCTCAACCATGCCCATAGGTTTAATGACCAGGTAGCACCTAAACCTGCGATACTTAGAACCACTCCTCATCACCCCAATGTCCTCTTTTCCCTTTCCAGCACCTTTCCATGCAAGAGTGAAAGATGCAATAAACACCTGCCCTTTACCTCCTTCCTTCACCCCAGTATAAAAGAAAATATGATAGAAAGGGTATCTTGGTTTCTTTTATGTACATAATTCGTTACAGATGGCAAGATAGGTAGAGAGCACAGTTCAAGAGGCATGCAGTAACCTAAATTTATTGGAGCATAGAGTACAGAAGTAAGGAAGATATGCTGAATGTTTTCAAAAGACACTAGTCAGCCCTCTGCTGGAATATCGTGTACCATTCTGGGTGCCACTCATTGGTATCAGTGGTGAATAGGTTTGCAACTGGTTCCAGGGATGAAAAATCTGTCATGAAGATAACTTGCACAATCTTAGACCGTTTTCCTTGGAAAATGCTAAGAGGAGATTTGTTTGAAGTTTTCAAAATCTGATCTGAACAGAGTTGATAGGGAGAAACTGTTCAGGCTCATAGGAAGATGATCAAGAATGAGTGTGCGCAGACTTATTGATTTTACAAGAAATACATACAATGTGAACAAAGGCTCATCACTCGGAGCTTCAGGTCTGGGAAACAATGCCTGGAAGGATGGTGGAAGCAGGTTCAAGAAGGTATTAGGTGATTATTTCCATTTAAATAATGTGCAGGGCTACAACAAGAATGGCACCAAGTCATGATGCTCAGAGAGCCACTGCAGACACGATGGGCTGAATGATCTCCAACACCATTACCAGCTCGGAGATTTTCTCCATTCAAGGCCCCAAGCAAACAGTGCTTTGCTTGTACTTTACACTTAAAATACTGTATTCTCAATATGGCTCCTTTATGCTGGGTGACTGCTTTGTAGAACATCTCTATTTAGCATGCACTTGGGCTCGCCTGTCAATTTAAATCTTCTCCAAGCTCTCAGGTTAACGTCTCTGTCCTCTGCCTCGTGCAAAGCTTGAGAAACAGCAGTTCATCTTCAGTTGGGCATTTTACAACTTTCCAGATTTGGCATCGAGTTCGTCAGTTTCAGTTCATAACCTCTGCCCTGTTTTCTTATCTCTGTGCCAGTTTTGCTTTCACTCTGCTTTCAGGTAACAGCAGTTCAAGATTTGGCTATTCACATCGTCTCCAGGCCCACCTTTTTGTTTCTGATTCTCATTACCACTCTTTTTCAATTTCTTCTGCCTCCCATTCTTTGACAATGCACCTGCAACTTGCTTAAAACCTATTGTACTCTTGACTTTCTCCCCAGTTTGTTGAAATCCCAAAGATTGAATTGCCTGCTGCTGATACTTGCTGTGTAAGTTCAAATGGCATAGTCACCTTGAACAAGGGTATTGGAGAGCAACTGACATCCATGAAATGATAGTCTCACAGGACCTAACATACATGCAGGGGAGAGAAGAGACAGTAGATTTGCTTTTAGGAATAATACTTCAGTCTTGAAAGATTAATTAGCTTTGTAAGCAGGTGTGAATGTACTGGCTGTGACATACAGTTGCCAAGGAAAAGAGTTGACGGCTTGCATTTTTGAAAAATGAACATAGTTCACGCATCTTGATTAAACTGCAGCGTGTATGTCTCTGCCCTTTTTGTTTCAAGGCCAGCCAGACTGACAGTGGGGTGGATTTGAGCAGCGACTGTCAGGTCTCTTCAACCAGTTCCTCGCAGCGTAGTTCTCCAGCCAGCAACCTGAAAACCGACACTGGGGAGCGTGTTGGTCTTATTAACCGTATCGGTACAAAGGTGGTTGAGATTCGATCAGCAGAAAACCAGCTCCTAGAACCCAAAGAGCAGAGACAGAGACCTACTAGAACAGGAGCACTGAAAGAAAATAAGGTATAGCACTTACTGTGATGACACGGCCTCTCTAATCACCTTGCTTGCTGCACAACATTGTTCTGAATGTACTTATTCTACTGATTACCGGTCACCACTTCTGGTAGTATTCTTGCTTCTCTTCATCGCCCAACCTGCCCTTCAATTGCCATCCATAATGCCCATTCTTCATTTGTGACTGTACACAGTGAGTTTCAGCAGGCAAAGTGTTTCACGGAGGTAATTGCATCTATTCTGATGCTGTAACTGTTTAGCCTGTGTGAGGATAAGTGCATTCACAGAACCACTCTCTACTTTTCTAAATGGCTTTTTGAAAAGCATTTTTGAGTGAGTTCTGATTTTATTTGTTCCTGGGGCACAGCTCTCTCCCATTCCCACTCCCTCCTTCCCACCTGCCATCACTACATTGCTTTGCACTTTAAATGCAGTTTAATGTTTAAAAATAAAGTTCCATGTGTCAAAAGTTAATTGTCATTGAAAATCTTTCCAACCTTGTGGCAAATATGCTGTAACATGGCAAAACTCTAGAATTAATGGAGTGCAAGGGCTTGGGCTATTAGTATACAAAAATTGCACTAAGATTTCAAATCATACACTGGTCGTCGCATCATTGAAAAAGATACCTTTAGTAGAAGGATAGCTTCTCTCCTAGTATTTCCTGTCCAAGTGTAAATCTCTTTTTAGGCCCACAACACTTTTTTGATTTCCAGTTTTCTCCATTTTTTTTTGCCACTTGTGCATATTTTCTCCTCCCTCTGTGTTGTCAGCCCTGCTCGCAGGTGCTTTGGCTGCGTCTGCTGGCGTTCTACATCTTCTTTTTAAAAAAAAAAATAACAACAACAACCTCCCCTCTCTTCCCTCTTCCTCCAAAGCTGCCTTTTTGGCTGTATTTTTGATTGTGCTCCATCTACTTTCCTCTAACTAATTAGATGTCACTAAATCAGTTCGAGTCATTGTCTTTCACCTAGGAAAATCTAATTGCTATTGGAACTGCATGTACTTGTTTTCTTGAATAGCAGATCACTCATAGAAGCAAGGATTTTTGACAGGTGGTGATGATGTAGCATGTGCTTGTAATACATGCAGCTCAGCAGTAAGAGAGATTTTCTTTGAGTGGAAGGAGAGTTGCACGTTGAGTGGGATTGTTAATTGTACTGCAGATCATGCTCCTAAAGATAAACAGTAGAATAATATTGGTTCAAAGTTTACTACTTAGATTATGGGCCTTTCTATCTTCTCACTCTGAATCTACTTTAGTTGTAAGTTTGCATTGTGCCGATTTTAGGAGATATATACCAAAAAATATCTGTACTGTTCAGGTGCGTGGTGTGGGCCTGGGTTATAACAAAAATGGAAGAGGGAGATGAATTTAGCGCCATTCAGACTTTAGCTCCTCCCCTGGGCAGGAGAAACATTGTTTCAAATCTCTGTGACAAATAGAGCAATTTCAAGCCTAAATAGCCTAATGGCCTTGAGCTTCTTCCTCATTGCTTATGACAAATAGATTTCAAATGCAACTTTGTGTAGCTTAGAGGTGGATATTGGTGGTGCTGCTTTGCTGTTGCATTAAGCCCTGCTGCTGAAATCCACCTGTGCATTGTTGCATTTTATATTCCACAGAGCTGGCCAGATACCAAGAATTGAAGGACTGTTGACTGTACCTTGGCAAACAAACAATCATAGAGTAGTAGCTAAAAAGAAACAAAAACAGAAGTTGCCGGAAAAGCTCAACAGGCATGTTGAGCATCTGCAAAGAGAAATCCGTGTTAATGTTTTGGGTCTGGTGATCCTTTCTCGGGACCTTTCAGTTCTGAGGAAGGGTCACTGGACCTGAAATGTTAACTCTGATTTCGCTTCACAGATGCTGCCAGACCTGCTGAGCTTTCGCAGCAACTTTTTGTTTTTGGTTCTGACTTACAGCAACCACAGTTCTTTCAGTTTTTATTTAGTAGCTAAGTAGCGTTGAATGGCCGCATAAGGTCCTGCAACTTCCAGAATTAGGGGGAAATACATTTTCTCATTTGGTAGGACCTCAAGATGGTGAATCCACTTGATGCCTGCTGTGATTAAATTTTTATTTTCCTCCTTGGGCATTTTCCCCTCTTCTGTGACAGGCGCTAGAGCTTTTGCACAATGACTATTCTTGATCTGAGTGCATGCAGGAATATTTCACATAGATGACTACAGAAAAAAACAGATCCTTCCCTCCCCTGCTTTGCTGCATCCACCGTTCACTTCACAGTGGAAGGGCTGGCTAATCTTGCTCTTCCTAGCCAACCCAGGTGTCACTGCTTCAGTTGTCATGCATTGAAGTACTCTGGTTCAATGTGTATTGTCCACTCCAAATGCAAAAATTCTACCATGGTCTATAAATAGACTGAGGCATATCAAATCATAGATAGTAGGAACTGCAGATGCTGGAGAATCTGAGACAACAAGGTGCAGGGCTGGATGAACACAGCAGGCCAAGCAGCATCATAGGAGCAGA